CCAAAATTTTTGTGATATAAACATGCATTCCAAGTTTCATCAAAATCGGATGAAAATTGTGACCTCCAGAAGGTCCACAACCTTGATATACCATATTTTACACTATTTGCGTACATTTTGTCCGGCAGTTTTGGTCGGATTTTCACGAAATTCGAACTCAAATATCATTAGGGTGTAACGGTGATATACTAAAACGGTTTTTTAAATTGGATAAAAATTGTGACCTCTAGAGGGACCACAAGCTAAAACCGCGATTTTTCGTACAATCAGGGGCCATAATTCAGGAAGTTACGATCTGATGTGCGCGATGATTAAAAGGAACCAAGATCTTTCGGTTATAAACATGCTTATCAAGTTTCATCAAAATTGGATCAAAATTGTAACCTCTATTGGGTCCACGAGCTAAAAACGTGATTTTTCGTACAATCAGGGGCCATAATCCATGAAGTTATGGTTTGATACATGCCAATATCGAAAGGGACCAAGATCTTAGGGAGATAAACCTATATTTCAAGTTTCGTCAAAATCGGATAAAAATTATGACCTGTAGAATGTCTACAAACAAATTGTGGACAGATGGACGGACGGGCGGACAGGGGCGACGACAATATACTTCCACATGAAAATGTGGGCATATACAAATCATGCATGAGTACTATTTAAAATGATCATTGATTGAAACCAGTATCCAACACAAAGGATGTTAAATGTGTCTCTCAAGATAAACGAGTGACAAAAATGTGCGAAAATTGAGATTGTCAAAGTTCTAAGATATTATCCCATAATTATCTAGAATCTTGACTAAAAAACATCTTTCACTGTATGAATTCCAGTGAAAGAGTTAGTTGGAAATCAGTTCAGGTCAAAGACTTTGACACAGCCTGGTGACATTGTAACAAAAACACTATAAAGTGCGATATGTATAGTAAACACACTGCCCCAGGAAAAATGTTGACTAAGCGCATTAAAGAAAGTCCACTGTGCACATTGCCGTCTCAATTTAATTAAGATCATGAATTTTCATGAAAAACATGTTAATTCCTCATAAAGTTGCTGTGAATAATGAAGAACATCATGGAACACAAAACTTATGAATTAAACTATACCTCGGTAACAATTTCATAGTATATGTGTATCCAGGGGCGTACATTACGATTTTGTTTGGGGGGGTGTTTAGCCAAAATGCGACTGACTGATGCCCATACCCCTAGTACGAGTGACGCAGTCAAGAGCCGAGCACCACAGGTGCGAGTTTTGTAGGGGCCATATGCAGTAGCGGATCTAGATAGGGGTGGGGGTCCAAATCTAGGGCGCCACCCAAGCCACAATCCCACCCCACAATGAATGTCATCAAAATACTGGCTATAACATTAAGCGTCCCGGTAGAACATAGGTGGTATTGTATAATTATATAGTTGTTTGCCGATCGTTGTCTCGTTGGAAAGCAGTTTTATTTAGGTTAACATAAAGTTTATGTCATATATGATTGTGCCTATAACGCTGAGCAACCTGCGAAAATTTTGAAAAATTGAGTCAATATCTTGGCATTTGAGGTCATTGCTGGGAGAAATTCTTGTGGACGAGAGGACCAGAAATGTGAGTCAATTAGACAAAATCTCGAGATCCGCCTCTGTCAATTCCGCCTGTTTTGCAAGAGTTGACAGAATATTTGTAAGTCTGACGCCCCACGACCCACATACCAGTGCCAGTGGTACTACTAACATAACTAGGCACTTCAGTTTAACGGTGAATATGATAGTGCTGAGACAGTGTAAGACAACAGAGGAGTGGAAGAATGATGTCATAACGGAATCGAGCGCCGCAGGCGCGAAAAAATTTCAGATGTGTAACCGAGCTTTTAATTTTTGGGACTGGGTCTGACAATTTTAGTCAATGTCATGGCAAATGGATCCAAATTCGCGTTAACGAGAGGTTAAGAAATGGGACAGAATCTTCAGGCCTATCTGTCAATGTCGCCTGTTTTGTGAGAGTAGAACTAACAATTCTACAGTCTTTTGACCCACGACTCACTCACTAGTGGTACTACTAACTGGGCGATTCACTGTTACTGTGAATATGATAGTGATGAGATAGTATAAGACAGAGAAGGAGTTGAAGAATGATGGCATAATGGAATTGAGCGCCGATATGTAACTGAGCTTTTTATTTTTGACGACTGGGTCTGAGGGCACTTTACCTCAATGGGGTGCTTACTTGGTCTCTGAAATGCCCTGGACTTTGGGGAGAGATTTTGCAGAATTCTGATGGTCAGAAGACACCCCATTAATTCATTTAGTCTGAGACCGACTGCGGTGAGCACTTTTTTTTGAGACCGACTATTTTTTTGCCATTGGGTGAACAACATTTTTTTCAAACATGATAAGTCGACAAGGTTATTTTATACTAAAGTTTTGCGTGAGTAGAGTGACGTGTGCAGTGAGCACTTATTTTGATACCGACTGCTCATATCCTACGACCGACTGCACTGATTTTGCGACCGACTAGTATTTGGGATCTATTCTGGCATTATTTGTTTACCTCATTAATTCATTAAGACGGCGATGCATAATTTTGAGACCGACTGCAGTTACTGCACTTATTTTGAGACCGACTATTTTTTTTCCTGGAGGAAATTTTGTTCTTAGACCTACATACTCACAACACAATAAGAGTGAAACACATCATTTTTTCAAACATGATAAGTTGACAAGGTTATTTTATACTAAAGTTTTGCGTGAGTAGCGTGACGTGTGCAGTGAGCACTTATTTTGATACCGACTGCTCTTATTTTGCGACCGACTGCACTGAATTTGCGACCGACTGCACTGATTTTGCGACCGACTATTTTTTTTCCTGGTGGGTGGGGGGGTGTACAACCCCCCCCCCCCCCCCAGATTTACGCTCATGTGTGTATCTTGTTCAAATTAAACAATTAAGGTTATTGTCAAATCATCCTTGATCCTAGATGCACAACTCACATTATGTAAATCCATAATCGGTATTAAAAATCCATCTTTCCGTAACTGTCATATTATCTTGACAAAAAAAAAACAAGTGCAATTTCATATCATTGTCAGTTCACTATTTGGCATTTCCACCGGGGATCACGTGGCTAAGTGGGTAAGACGCTGGCTCGCTAGCCTGGAGGTCGGGTGTTCGATCCCTGCATTGGCCGAGAAAGCTCATCCAGATTTTCGGGCGTGGTTCTCCCTTGTCAGTGATGCAGGACGGAGGGGCTGACAAGGAAAGCTGTCTAGTCGTTCGGATGGGACGAAAAAACCGAGGTCCCGTGTACACATTGGCGTGCACGTAAAAGATCCCTTGGAATTCGATGTACGAGTAGGCCGTAGTGCCGCTGTCCGGGCAAAATTTCCCTCATAGCTCACTGTATGGCGTATGCCCCCCTTATCATTAGCCCAGTTTGGAGCAAAACAGTAGGACGTTAAACCCCATTTCATTTCATTCACACCATTTTATGTGAGGGGTTGGTGTAGAAAACACTAAAACACACAATATCATTTAAAGTAATATCCTTTTATTCTAATTGGGTATATTAGTATAACCAGAAAGAACTACTGGCGTACGCTATCTATATCTCTTTCTAGTTGCTACAGAAATCTCTAAACATAATATATAGCCTTCTACGTATTTAAATACATGACTATTTATGAGATTATACTCACGGAACTAAACTGGTAGCCTCCTGTGAATAATGGTAAATATTATATACAAGGATAAAGCACTATATAACAATTGTGCCGCTGCCCTGGCAAACTTTTGTCACTAACTGGAAAGAGTAGGTCTATACGAACTTTCCTGTTACGAAGAGCAAATATTGGATATTTTCATTTGTCAAAAAATTAGGATGAAATATTTAGGCTGAAATATTATGTCGTCGACATACTCTTCAAAAAAGTAGGGGATATTGAAATGCAAATACCTATGCAGGTTGTGATATGATAAATAGTCATGGACACTTGACATGCTTTGAGAGTAGGCCTGTGTTCACAGATGACGAACCTATCGCCCCAACAGAACCACTGACACTGAGCTGCACATATACGTGGGAGGGGTTCATTGTCAAATTTGACACTTCAAGGAAGGGTTGATGAAAACTGCCGCGTGATGGTTTATCTATCGATGTTTGCTTTTCTATCGGTTCTTGCATAAGATTTACTGTTTAGCGTATCTTTGCTTTAGTGTGTTACGTTTAATTTGATCGGGAGACATATTCGTCGACGTCAGCGTCAACCGACAACACTACAAGAGGAGTGGGTCAGATTGCCCCAAATCGTGATTGGACGGTTGATTAGGAGCATGCCACGACGAATTGCTGAATGTCTGAGGATTGGTGGAGCAATTACTCATTATTAAGACAAAAATCAAAAACGTCCATTTTCAATTTTATACGGTGTATCTCTTTGAGAGTGAAATGGGGCCCGTCAGATAAGCCGCCCATATGAACTGTTTATGTTCATGTACGTAGGCATATTGGCCTGTATTAACATAGGCTACACTGGTTACCTCTAATAAAAACAGCAGTGCATTTCCGCAGTTTTGTATTGTTTCTGATTATCCCCTACTTTTTTGAAGAGTGTATAATAGAATCACGCTGTTTAATTGCTATGTGTGCGTGAGGGGGGGGGGGGATAGCGCGTGCGCGCTGTATCATATAAGGTCATTGAGTCAACTAGCGTGGTTTCAATTCCTCGGTTGTACGTGATAGCATCGCCAGTGGTTTTCTCCGGGTCCCCCGGTTTCCTCCCACTGCTGTGTACAGATCCATACGTGCAAGCGAATGATCTAAATAAATTGAACCATTTGTTAGTCCCGAAATGGCCTAGTTTGTGTCGAGTGGACATTAAACCCCATCTCTCTCTCTCCCCCCCCTCTCTCTCTCTCTCTCTCTCTCTCTCTGACCTTAATGAAGGAGACCTGAAGTACAAGTCTATCATGTGGTGCGCACTCTCTAGATTTGAAGAATACGAAAGGTAGGGTCAGTTCTGACGTACTAAATAAAAACATTGCATTGGACAACTCAGTTCGTTGTGAATTAATTTATAAAGAAAAAAGGAAAATTCAAATTTAGTTTACAACCCCTAGGTGAGTATTGAATGGAGGCTTTGAATATATCGCATTATTATGTAATATAATCTATTTTTATGTTAATTCTAGCTAACTACGAAATAAGAAAGGGGTTTCTTTTTTTTCCCCCTGCACTCAGCTGGCATTGTTTGACAGGCGAGTGTAAACCAATTATAGATCCAGTTGTAGACGTAGAGATCTGACGAGCCATCATTGTGGATTTTACAATAATATGATTATTATAGCTAGATCAAATATTTTTGTATGAAAAGAATCGGAATCGAAAAAATAAAAACAACGTAGGCTACATTTTTGCGCCGTTTCCATTCAACATCAGATTGTCTTACAACACAATGTCACCTAGTTATTCTGCTTGCTCACAAAACTAACGCTGTGATGAAATTTGCAATGCTGTTCTGAATTATTGTGAGGCATCCAACACAAGTTATTACACAAGCTATTACATGAATCCTAACTTAACACTTAAAATTTACAAAAATTTATTGATGCCTCGTCTTTTAACAAAATATAATTTAAACAGCTCGTATGTGGGAACTTGAACCGTATTGTACTGTACATGAATGATTATTCATACTCATGGGTGCTTTTGGGGAAAAATTTTGAGTGGCCATAGAAAAAGATGTTATATACTATAAAAGAACACAGGTAAAGCATTATTATTATTATCATAAGCCTTAAAAAAAACCCCCAAAACCTGTCAACAGATTTTACTGATTTGAAAAAGTTGAATTGTAAAATATTTACATATTATGAATACGTCATTTGTAAAAATATTAAATAAATTCCTTGAATGATACTAATAAATAATTGAAATGAAAACAGATTATAAAAAATTCATTATTACTTAAACATATATTATGCAAGAGCTATCTGTCTATTGCAGGTCTTTCTTTGGGCCTGAAATGTTATCTAAATTATTAATTAGACATTTAAATAATTAACTTATCCAGACCATAATCAACTCGAGATGGCATCGGTAGCCTGTGATCGTTAGAGGATTATGAGCCGATTTACTGCATAACTTTCCTTCAGGACCCTTATTCACGAAAACTTAAACTAAGTTACAACCGAAATTTTAAGAAATACTGCAACTTCATTGGATATATGCAAATTGATTTTACTGGTCAGCCAATCGAATTGCAGTATTTCTTAAAATTTCAATTGTATCTTAGTTTAAGTTTTCGTGAATAAGGGCCCTGGATTTAACGATTAAATGGATAATCAAGACTATGCTGTTTATCGTACTGACTTTAGTAATGATGATCAAGGCCAGCCGGAAATTTCAACTGCTTAGTTCTCGGTTCATAGTGAATCAATTTGAATGAAACTTTTAGCAAATTGCCTTTACATTATCTAGTTTTTAACTATTATAGTGATAACTGCCAACTTGTCCCATAATGTATCTTTAATATAGGCTACAGGTTATGTGCTTTACTCATGTTACATATTATGATATTTGTTACTCACGTTATAAATTTGTAGAATAAACTTAAGGGAGACAGAGAGAGAGAAATGGGGTTTAAAGTCCACCCGCCACAAACTGCTGTGTAATTTCGGGACTAACATATGGTTCAATTTATTTCAATGATTCGCTTGCGCATAGTGGTCTTTTGCAGTGGGAGGAAACCGGAGGACCTAGAGAAAACCCACAAGGTTGGACAGGCGACCCTACTCCTGGTCACTTACATGTACAAGTGAATTTTTGAAATAAAATTGAACCATGTAAGTCCCGAAATGATCTATTTTGTGTCGAGCAGCCTACCATATACTTTAACCCTTAATAATTTTTGTAAGATAAAGCCTTTGTTCGTGAAACCTTATAAACAGAATGCTGATGAGGATGGGCATATATATGTGTTGATGCCAGGAAGCCTACATATAAGTAATTGAAAAATTAAATTTCATAAATACATGTTCCTATGGTTTCTAGTAATGTCCTTAAAAAAATTGAATGACACTATAACGTAAAGAAAATGAAATGCATAGAAAATTGATGTTTAAACATAAAGAATAAAGCTGTGATGGAAGAGATCATTATTTATTAAAATAGAAAATATTGATTTTTTTATTTTTTAAATAGAAGACAACATTTTATTAACTATTACAAGTCAATATCTGCATGTACATATATTGTTAGGCTTAATAACAATACAATACTGTGGTATGAAAAGCCGTTAATTTTATATGCACACATTTTCATGTTGACGTATATTGTTGTTGCCTCTGTCCGTAGTCCGTCCACAATTTGTTTGTGGACACTCTACAGGTCACAATTCTTATGCGATTTTGACGAAACTTGAAATATAGGTTTATCTGCAGTAGATCTTGGTTCCTTTCGATATTGGCATGTATCGGATCGAAACTTCATGGATTATGGCCCCTGATTGTATGAAAAATCACCTTTTTAGCTTGTGGACACTCTAGAGATCACAATTTTCGTCTGATTTTGATGAAACTTGAAATGCATGTTTATAACCCAAAGATCTTATTTCCTTTCGATAACGGATATCGGATCATAACTTCCTGAATTATCGTCGCTCTAGAGGTCACAATTATTATTCAGTTTAAAAAAGGCTTATTCTCTATCCATCTCTTGCAAAGTGTGGGCTATCTTGTTAAAAGACGAGGCATCAATAAATTTTTGTAAATTTTAAGTGTTAAGTTAGGATTCATGTAATAGCTTGTGTAATAACTTATGTTGGATGCCTCACAATAATTCAGAACAGCATTGCAAATTTCATCACAGTGTTAGTTTTGTGAGCAAGCAGAATAACTAGGTGACATTGTGTTGTAAGACAACCGCTGGTTATATTGTTTTATGGAGCTGTCAAACAATTTCAACCAGGTTTTTGTTAGAATGACAATTTTTTATGATGTTTGTACATAAAATTCATTCTCAAGAAGTGAATGGAATTTTAAGAGCTTTGAACACTATGTATTACACTTTTATGAAACAATTCCTCTACTGCAGAAAAACAATTAAATCTACAGCACAGCTTTTATAATCATTATGCCTCAAGAGTTGATAAGAATTAAGATGAGCTTCACATGTAAGCTTTTATGGCATTGTTTTATGAAACTCTGCTTATTGTAATTCAGTTTAATTTGTTATACATGTACATGTATTTTATATTTGGTTAACTTCTATAAAAATCATTGCACTCTCTTCTGTACCATGGTGCACTGCATAGGACACATGTAGACGACTACTAATAAGGAACAGTACCCATGGGTGATTCATAAGCTCCAATGAAAATAAACAGTCAGACATTCATTTTTATTGGTACAATTTTATAGGAAGGCTATTAATTAGCTAGACAGGAGATTGAAGACAGTGTACATGTACATGTGTATATGGCTTTTAATTTATAGTTAATTGCATGAGGGAATGTAAATTTTAAGTGCCTATTCGGAAATATTTGGAAGTAACAACAGGTACCGTATATATTATGGTATATTCTTTTTCTATGGCCACTCAAAATTTTTCCCCAAAAGCACCCATGAGTATGAATAATCATTCATGTACAGTACAATACGGTTCAAGTTCCCACATACGAGCTGTTTAAATTATATTTTGTTAAAAGACGAGGCATCAATAAATTTTTGTAAATTTTAAGTGTTAAGTTAGGATTCATGTAATAGCTTGTGTAATAACTTGTGTTGGATGCCTCACAATAATTCAGAACAGCATTGCAAATTTCATCACAGCGTTAGTTTTGTGAGCAAGCAGAATAACTAGGTGACATTGTGTTGTAAGACAACCGCTGGTTATATTGTTTTATGGAGCTGTCAAACAATTTCAACCAGGTTTTTGTTAGAATGACAATTTTTTATGATGTTTGTACATAAAATTCATTCTCAAGAAGTGAATGGAATTTTAAGAGCTTTGAACACTATGTATTACACTTTTATGAAACAATTCCTCTACTGCAGAAAAACAATTAAATCTACAGCACAGCTTTTATAATCATTATGCCTCAAGAGTTGATAAGAATTAAGATGAGCTTCACATGTAAGCTTTTATGGCATTGTCTTATGAAACTCTGCTTATTGTAATTCAGTTTAATTTGTTATACATGTACATGTATTTTATATTTGGTTAACTTCTATAAAAATCATTGCACTCTCTTCTGTACCATGGTGCACTGCATAGGACACATGTAGACGACTACTAATAAGGAACAGTACCCATGGGTGATTCATAAGCTCCAATGAAAATAAACAGTCAGACATTCATTTTTATTGGTACAATTTTATAGGAAGGCTATTAATTAGCTAGACAGGAGATTGAAGACAGTGTACATGTACATGTGTATATGGCTTTTAATTTATAGTTAATTGCATGAGGGAATGTAAATTTTAAGTGCCTATTCGGAAATATTTGGAAGTAACAACAGGTACCGTATATATTATGGTATATTCTAAAGTAATTCAAAGACTTTTTGATAAGTCAACTACAGTAGTACACATGTATTAACTTTTAGGCATTTTTATCAAGAAGAGAAAAAAAATTAATAATGTATTCAAAACAATTTTAGACTTTGCTAAATTGATTGATCCCTGAACTTCTGAAGACCAAGGTAGGCTGTACAGAATCTTAAATGTCTCTATCTCAGCGATGGATTGACAAATCTGTCACAAGTTTTGAATGCAGTCTCATGAAACTGTTGGCCTATGTAGTCCAGTAAACCATGGAAAATCGAACATTATTTTTTAAACACCAATGAAGATCTCCAAAGTTCTAACGCCTCTTTAAAGGGCGTATGGGGCATTGATGAAGCCTTCACGAAAATGTGTCTAAAAAGCAATTTCAATTTGCAATTTCAAATATGGATAATATTGATCTAGAGGTTTAGCTCCTTTAAATTAAGAGATCAAATTTGGGATACAAATACAGTGTCTTACACAAAGATTTGCTGTCAAAAGAAAGTCTATGATTTATGATTTGACCATGTCCGGTTACACATCACCAGACAGGGACGACGATATGTTAGCTTTGTACTTTCTTCTCAAGAGAAGAAAACGAAGAACACACAGATGTGTATCAGTACACGAAATCATCCAGAGATGCAGTATGTATGGTGAATATCATCACCTAGTTCAGGAATTTTAGTTTCACCCATACAAGTTTGGGCAGTGTTTTAGGATGACAGAGCGCCAATATGACTACGTCCTTGGACTGACAGAAGACAACATTCCGAAAGAGGACTCAAACTTATGGAGAAACACTTTCCATCTGTCTGAGGTAAGTATTTTGTCCGTGTGGTACCTTTAAAGGAAAAGGTCAAACAATAACCATCAGATATATGACTTTCGACTTTGCACTCTGATTGGCTAATGAAAATCGTTCATGCATACTGTTCCCAAAAATTTGTTCTGGATCAGATACATGTACGTCACATGTATGACTTTTGACCTAGCACTTGAATTGGCTAATGAAAATCGTTCGTGCAAACTGTTCCCAAAAATTTGCTCTGACTGGAGGCAATCTCTGCGGTTTTCTGTGCAAACAAAAATTCTGTCGTGTTCGCCATCAGAATAAACATCTTCACTGAAATAGCAGTTAAGTAATCAAATGCATTTACTGTAATGTTCGCGCTCAGATAAATGGCCCTTTAGAATTGTAGATTTAATCAAATACTCTCAATGACGAAACCGAATATGACGCATGCATAAATTATAGTGAATAAAACCTACGATTGGTATCTAAACCAAATGACTACAAAAAAGTTTGTAGGATGATTTGACAAGAATTTGAATGAACGATTACAATGAAAACACAAGTACATATAGTTAGGTCACAACTGAGTTCACCTCAAATATTTATTCTAGATGTTGTTATTTCCCTCTACATGAATATAACCTTAAGTTTCTGGTTTATTCTGTCACACCCAGTGCTTATGTGTGTTATGTACTAATGATTGAAGAGTAAAAGTACTTTTAACTAAAAGGAACATATAAAAAAGCTAATGTGGATACCATGTATTGTAAAGGTCAGTCCAAACGAATGAATGGGAAATCTTACCCTTTTAAAATTTAGGACAAAGACAGCAAAGGGACATATTATAAAGCCAGGGCTGTCATTGTAGCTGTAATTGTACTGACTTCATTATCATTTTATTATGCATCCAGGTGTTAAACAGACAATGCAAGGGCTATAAGTATTGAATAGTCCAGATTTTGCATGGATGGCAAATGTGCAGCAACATTTTTTAGACAATGATTTCAGTTTTTAACGTGTTAAATGAAAATTTATTAATGTCATGTTCATTTTGGATGTTCAATAACATTTTATATCCCTACAGCTTTAAGATATTTCATTTAACAATTGTAATGTAAACCACAAATCTAAAATTAGTAAATGCTCACAACAAATGCCAAAATGAAAATTTAATTAAATAAACCTAGGGGGGGGAAATATATATTCAAGAGAGACATGATACTGTCATTTTATATTTTATTGCTAAGTAGTATTATGTTTGTATATTTGATGATTTTAGTGTCAAGGTTATTTTCATTGAAATTATTTATAAATATCCTCAAAGTCGTTGCTACACTAAATACCAATATTACACTTGATATGTAAGCTTGGTATTCGATTTCACAATAGTGTATGTAATTAAAAACTAAAAAGTTACAAAGAGGTGGATCTTCCACTGCGATTCTAGTAAAATAATAAAGCATAACAATCCACTTTGCAACAGACATAGAAATGAAATGGGTTTAACATCCTACTTTCTGAACCGTCTAGGCCAATGAAGATGGGCATACACCATGCAGTGTGCTACATGAGGGAAATTTTGTAGAATTCCAACTGAACATTGAAAAATCTCGACCGTTGCTGGGATTGCACCTGGGACGTCCCAGCTAGTGAACCAGCATCTTACCCACCAAACTACAAGTACACGTACCATATAGCTGTCAACAGAGAAAGAAGGCCAAAATTTCCAATGTGATGATGATATAGGCATATCATCTAATTCAAATTGTCTCAAAAAATTTGTTCCCTTTTGTGCAGGAAACTAGAATGTTAAACTTCATTTCATTTCGTATCTCTTATAAATTGCTGCTAGAATACTTTACAGTATACTTATAAATATATACCACCCAGAAGTTGCACATGTGATTTTCTGTAAATGAGAAACTGACATTAGCGTTTATGGGCCCTCATACATAAAATGCGCTTTTTGAAGATGTACTCCAGTGATTATTTCCTAGATTGTAAATGATTATAGAATTTAAAATAGATACATTGTTTCATTGAATCATAGTGATGGGTGACATGGTTTCATTAATAAATAGTACTGTATATGTAATTCAGGAAGTACTTACAAATAATTGTCAAGAATAGTTTTGATAAATATTAGGCCAATTAGGCCAAATTCATTTTGGAGAATAATTTGACTCGTGGAAATATTTATTATCTATAGATCTATGGTACGGTAATAATGTTTAACTTTTTGTTTCCAAATTATGAAATTAGAGCAGTAATAGAGCTACATGTACATATTTATATATTCTGTATATTCCTTACATGTATTTCATGATGTTTTTAAACACTCTATTGCATGGAATCATTATAACTGTTTTTATACACACAATATTTGATTGTTTACTTCCTTGTCATATCAGATCCCTTACTGACATGTGTAAGCTCTAATCAAATGCAACTATATAATCATGCTCGAGCACTGAAGCAAGGCTGTGGGCTAATGAAGCTTGATGGTTTTAGGGTTAAGATAATTCTCACACTGACAGGCAATGTTATTAAACATAAGGCAGTACCATGCAAGATATGCCCACATTTTGCAAGAGATGGACAGAGAGCAAGCCAGAATGTTACACTATCGAAAGGAATCAAGATCTTTGGGATATAAACATATATTTTAAGTTTCATCAAAATCAGATAACAACTGTGACGTCTAGAAGGTTCTTAAACTAGAAACATGATTTTTCGTACAATCAGGGCCATAATCCAAGAAGTTATACAGTCCGATATGATCTGATCTATTATTGAAAGGAACCAAGATCTTTGGGATATAATCGAATAAAAATTGTGACCATTTGTGTACAGGGGATCGGCCATTTAGTCTCAATTCGAACTCAATGGTTTTTGGAATATTGGATTGTTTTTAAAATTTTGACTTGATTTTTTGTACAATCAGGGGTCATAATCCAGAAGTTATGATTCGACATGTATCATTATCAAAAGGAATCGAGATCTTTCGGTTATAAACATACATTTTCAGTTTCATCAAGATTAGATAAAAATTGTGACCTCCTGATACATGCCAATATCAAAAGGAATCAAGATCTTTGGGATATAAACCTATCTTTTAAGTTTAATCAGAATCAGATAAAAATTGTGACAAAATATTAACGAAAAGACTCATGGACGGACAGGGGTGACAACAATATACATGTATGTCCACATGAAAATGTGGGCGTATAAAGAATCAAGCACAATTGATCATAACCACAACAAGAGAAACTGTCAAACTCAAGTATTTTTTGGGGTTTTTTTCAAGTGGGGATTAATTCCTACTTCTCTGTACCAACTGGCCTAATGAAGAAGGACACACACCAACCAGAGTGCCATGAGGGAAAGTTTGCTTAAGTACTCTTCAACAAATTCCCAAGGTCAATGGTTGTTTTACGTGGCAGGTGGACCTCAGTTATTCAGAATGACTAGCCACTTTTTCCATGTTCTGCACCACTGACAGGGGGAAACAGGATGGATAAACTGGAGCAACTTTCTTGACCAACAAAGAGATCAAACCCAGGACCTCCAGGCTAGTGAGCAAACATCATATCACTCACTGCATAACTGTCACTGCTGGTGGGTTAAATGTAAAACGGATAAAACTTTTGACATGCAGACTAAGTCTGGTTGGCTAAAATCCCTGTTTCAGCAACTGCAATATTTAGATTGGTTTTTTTTCATAAAACTTAAAAACAATTTTTTTTTTTTTTTACAGATATATACATGTTCGAAACAAAAGATTGATAGACTTGGGAGATGTTAATTCAAAATTTGCTAAATTAATGCCAATTGTTTGAATAGAAAAATTTGTTAAAGAATTAAAAGATAGAGTACAGAAAGCTCCTGGTGAATTTTGATGAGGAATGGACAGAGTCCATGATTCTATAGCCTGGTATCAAAAGCAGGTATGGTTACTTTTAATTTCCCACCACCCCACCCCCATTCAGATGACTGGTTTTGGATATGTCAGTAAAACATATTTTCTCAATTACTCAATGGTGAAGTTATGTCCAATCTCAAAGGAATATATCTTTAAGCTTATAATTGAACTAAATAAGTTTACTGATAAAATCGGTTATCTTTACGCATTTAATGGTCACTGACTTTACTTATATAAATCTATGAAGTATGAATGCATGGGAAAATCTGAGATATTTTCATATATATGTAATGATATGTTTTTAAATATTTAAGAAAGATTCATTGATTTAGGAAAAATCATATTCTGGGCTTCTAGAAGCACTGAATGATACAGTAGTTTTTTTTAATCATTTGATAAATAGATCAACATGCATGAAGTCCTAAAAATAGCCACAATGTAACTGTTGTATGTAAACTTGTGATGCTATTTATGGTAACAACCACTTGCGGTGATCATGATGCAATCATACCACAGGTATTTATGGCTTGTACTAGTGGCAAAGGATATTTAAAGGGAAAATATACATGTACATTCAAAATGAAATATTCTATAAATCATAAATTGAGACTTCTGCTTATGATTAAGTCAGTCGGCTCACACTAATTTTAGGACATCTATATATATGTAAATGTGGCCCGGATATTTTCTGATTGATTGAAAAGGGGTGTTGCAAAACTAGCCTACTTTTGATAGAGAAATAAAAAAAAAGTTTATAAAGAATTATGAAAATATTTTAAAACTATTTTAATGTAGCTAAACAGCTTGATCACCCATTAGTGGCAGGCATTTATCGTCTGCTACTATCATTCGAGTGTACCAGCAAGGACATTGTCTTTTGCTGGCTCCCCAGTCATATGGATATCAAAGGGAACGATCAAGCAGACTCGGCTGCCAAGTCTGCCTTAGATCTTCCCATATCTGAATTTTTAACGCCATATAAAGATTTTAAATTTATTATAAATAATTTCATTTATGGCCGCTGGCAACGGTCTTGGGATCTTGCACGCACAAATAAACTTCATCACATTAAGCCTCTTTTAGGAGATTGGCCAAGCTCCTATAGAACTAACAGGAGAGATGAAGTTGTTTTGTGTCGCTCTCGCATTGGTCATACTTTTTTAACTCATATTTTCATTTTAAAGCGAGAGCCTCAACCAGAATGTGAACACTGTCATCTTCCTTTGACAGTTAAGCACATTTTGATTGAGTGCAAGCATTTCAAGGATATTAGATCGAATTTTTACCGTTGTCAGTTACTACAGCACATGTTTGCCCAAACGGGTTTATATGGTAAAGTGTTAGACTTTTTAAAGGAGACAGGTTTTTATAATAAATTTTAATTGTATATATATCATTTTATTTTTGTATTTAATATTTATATGCATAAAAGTTGTATTTTATTTTTAATTTTATTAACTGTGATATTGTTTTTATTTATGCATATAATGTTTTTCTGTGATATAGTTTAGCCTGTCTTGTGATTTTCACCATATGTTTGGCGCAATATAGCCCGGATGGAGCTGACGTGCCATAAAACCACATTTCATTCATTCATTCATTAATGTAGCTAAGTCTGTAACTCAATATCATCCAAAATCTTCGACATTGAAAACACAAATTTTTTTGCAATTGAAATCAGCATTGGTGTTGTGATCTTACCTGGAAAAGATGGGCTTCTGATATCCAATATTTAAGACAAAATAAACATTTTACCATTGGTACACGAATCGTGTACCATAATGCGTTGCAGCGCCATTTGTAAGGTGCTCAAAGAATGAGGCTAGACATACTCCACAAGTCATGTCAAACGGTGATATCATATTCTTATTTGGAGAGCATGCACAATAAATAATATCGGTGTTGACTGGAATAACCAGACGCTAGAAACTGACTTGCGGTTGAGACTTCTGGCGTATTTCGCCGAACATAACTGATGACAATTCACAGTAAAACGAACACGATTGAATGTAAAACAGTTTATATAAATTCATATTACATTATTATATGTGTTGCGACCCATTTTGTGCCAATTTCTAGGTCCAAAATATTAGCGATTTAGCTCCTTTAATGTTTCCATACTTTTTTTTACTAATTTGAAATTTACAAATGAGTCAAATTTATGCTGGAGCCATTTTATTCGAAATTATTTCCCATTAGGATTTAGGCCTGGATAACCATTGCATAATGACGGCAAATTTCAGGCATATCGCTAAGACATCTACAGTGGAAAATACTTTAATGAAATATCATTTAGTTTCAATTTTGATGCTGTGTTTACAACATGTAAATGATATTGACTTTCTGTTGAATGAGAAAGGTTACAACTTACATGTACTGGTACATATAATATGCACATAATTATAACTTAATCCATATGAATTTATATTTATATAGAAATATCTTTAGAGAGTCAGTTAGTTAATCACTTCAAATAAAAATAAGCCTAATGTCTCTTTAATACACTATACAAATGTAGATTACATAAATCTGTTCAATGTTACAATGACTTTAATAAGATAGAAACAGATTTGTCATTGACAATTCTCAGTATAGAATCTGTCTTACAAGTTTGATATACATTTCAACTAAGGTCACACACACAGTATGTGGAGGTAATCAGGTACATATAACTGAAGTAAAAAATAAAGCAAATAAAAACACTACTATTAAGCCAGGTATACCAATCCCCAGTCACATTATTTATGAATTACATCAAACATTAACAAAATAAGTATTGAGGCATGTACCCTGTAGACTGTAAATAAATGTGACAAGAAAATGAAGTGTTATAGTTATCAGGAAATAAGGAGAGTAACATTCATGTAAGGTAGTCTATATCATGTGACCATAATTTCTTCTTAGAAGCAATAAAAAAGTACTAAAAAAAATGTTTTTAAACAGGCTAAGTTACATCAAGATGTTCTTTAACTGTTCATGTACCCTATCACAGTGGCATCAATTTCATTGCACATCTGTTAAAATGTAATATTAACAAGAAAGAGTAAATGAGTATGTGGTACATTATGGATGGGCGATGTTTTGATATTTTGTATATATCCTTCTATTAATCTATATATCATGTCAAAAAAATAGTGACATTATTGTCACTAATATCGCCTTCGAAAAATATTGCAGTGTTAAAGGAGCTAAATCGCTAATATTTGGGACAGGAGAAATTGACACAAATAGGTTGCAACGCATATAATAATGTAATATGAATGTATATAAACTGATTTACATTCAATTGTTTGCGTTTTGATTCTAATTTCAAATCAGTTATGTTCGATGAAATACGCCAGAAGTCTCATGCTCTCTAGACAAGAATATAGAGTCACTGTTTGACATGACTGGTGGAATATGTCCAGCCTCATTCTTCGAGTCCCTTGTTACAAATGGCGCTGAAACGCATTATATAAAATGTTTATTTTGTTTGAAATTGGATATCAGAAGCCCATCTTTTCCCTGTAAGATCACAACATCAATGTTTATTTAAATTGACAAATAAATCGTGTTTTCATTGTTGAAGACTTAAATATTGGATATCAGAAGCCTGTCTTTTCCCTGTACGGTCACAACATCAATGTTGATTTAAATTGACAAATAATTCGTGTTTTCAATGTTGAAGACTTTGGATAATATTGAGTTAAAGACTTTTAACTCCCTGTATACTTTCCCAGATACAGTATCATATGGTACCGCAATAGCTGAAATTATTATTGCTTTTCGTAACTTATATATGTTCCCAAAATGCGTATCTAAAAAAGAAGATATCACCCATCGGTATGGTACATGTACTGTCTAACCACCCCTGCCAATGCAATGTGTTATGTTGACGACTAACAAAGGATTAAACCCCTACAATTGTGTAGTTCAATCTTGTTATTTAATACAGATGTATCTCTCTGATGGCTTGTTACTATGTTATCATTGACTGCAAATGTATGTAATAATAACATTGATTTTCTGTCAGTCTTTCATATAAACTGTAGCTATATATTATAATTAATTTTACATACATCAGCCACCATTCATGATGTACATGTAAATACAACTAATTAGTCAACATTTAGATAACATTTTTATACGCCCACATTTTCATGTGGATGTATATTGTTGGCGCCCTGTCCGTCCAGACGTCTGCCCGTCCACAATTTGTATGTGGACACTCTACAGGTCACAATTTTCATCTGATATTGGCATGTATTGGACCATAACTTCATGGATTATGGCCCAGGATTGTACAAAAAAATCACATTTTTAGCTTGTGGATCCTGTAAAGGTCACAATTTTTATCTGATTTTAAAAACTGTTTAAATATATCATCGTTACACCATATTGAAGGTTGAGTTCGAATTTTGGGAAAATCAAAATGAAACTGTCCGACAAATTTGCCGCTCCTTGTAAGCGAATAGTGTAATACGAAGGCTGTGGACCCTCTAGAGGTTACAATTTGTGTCTGATTTTGATGCAACTATCTCAGTGCCTTTCCATATTTGCGCATTTCAGACCATAACTTCCTGATTATGGCCCCTGATTGTATGAAAAATCACATTTTTTTTGGGAGCTTGTTCTTGTTGTCTATCTATTTCTTGCAAAATGTGGATGTATCTTGCATGGCAACCGCTGGTTACCATTTTATTTTCAGTCCTGATTAAATATTTATCAATGAGATTCTTGATGCTATATTTGTCATGCAAGTTAAGAGTTCTATCTCTCTATTTGTGGATGTTGCATGATATTAAATGCCAGCTGATAGTTGTAGGTTCAAAGCCAAACCCATGTATTTGCCAGTAGTTAGGTAGGGAAAGTTGCAGCAATTATAATTAATCCATGGTCTAATCTTGTCTGTCTGCATTAGCCCAGTCAGTGCAGAAAAGTAGGATGTTAAACCCATTTCATTTCATTTTTAATGTTCTAAATTTTAAAGTTATATACTCTTCAAAAAAGTAAGGGATATTGAAATTCAAATACCTATGCAGGTTGTGATATGATAAATAGTCATGGACACTTGGCATACTTTGAGAGTATGTACACAGATGAAGAACTTATCGCCCCAACAGAACCACTGAGCTGCACGTGTGACATCTAACATGCAATAGCGCCATACACGTGGGAGGGGTTCATTGTCAAATTTTACACTTCAAGCAATTGTTGATGAAAACTGCTACGTGCTGGTTTATCCAATCTATGTTTGCTTTCCTATCGGTTCTTGCGCAAGATTTACTGTTTAGCTTATCTTTGCTTTAGTGTGTTACGTTTAATTTGCAATGAGACGTCCTCAACGTGATGAACGTCTACTTGCTATTGGCAGGCTTCAAATGGGTTCTACACAGCGAGCAGTAGCCAACATGCTTAATGTGTCACAGTCTGTGATCAGCAGACTGTGGAACCGGTACCAACAAACACACAATGCTGATGATAGACCTCGTTCAGGTCGTCCTAGAGCCACTACACAAGCCCAGGATCGATACTTTTGTACACAGGTCCTGCAAAATCGAGGACAAACGGCCAATAAGCTTTCTGTAAACTTGTACCAAGTTACAGGAATTCAAATTACACCCCAAACAATTAGAAATCGGCTACATGCAGCTCATTTGCAAGCGCGATGATCACATGTTGTGCCTACATTAAGTCACCAGCACATGGCAAACAGGCGTCAATGGTGCAGGCAGCGTAGAAATTGGGGTAATCGTCAATGGGTGCGTGTACATGTAATGTTCTCAGATGAGCCCAGATTTACTCTGGATTTGACAGTGTATATCATTGCGAGTGAAATGGGGCCGTCAGATAAGCCGCCCATATGAACTGTTTATGTTCATGTGTAGGCAATTGGCCTGTTATTAACATACACTGGTTACCTCTAATAAAAACAGCAGTGCATTTCTGCAGTTTTCTATTGTTTCTGAATATCCCCTAGTTTTTTTGAAGAGTATATACTTGCACTGTACATGGTGGCATATATATGAAGATATAATATACAGTATTAACAAATAGTGCAAGTTTTTCAAACTTTATTTTATCAAAATGGACTATCAGAATGGCTGTCATACACTACAGTCCAAAAAACACAGGAGCTAAATCGCTGCATGTATTTTTTGGCACCTAGAACTGGACACAAATGTGTCCCAACACATATAATAATGTAATATGAATGTATATAATCTTTAAGTGGCATTTAGTGAATGTATATAAACTGCTTTATATTCAGCTGTTTCTGTTTTTACTGGTGTCTGGTTATTCCTATCTACAATGGTAGTATTCTTGTGTGGGATTTGTTTAGCCTCGTTCTTCGAGTCGCTTCATTACAAATGGTGCTCGAAAGCAGTCTGGCACACATTTTGTGTGCCAATTTTAAAATTTTTAATTTGTCTTAAATATTGGATATCAGAAGCCAATCTTTTCACAGTAAGATTCCCCGAAAAACACTCGTATACAGGACAAAAATGTAAAAGTTCCCCTAATCAACAGCCCGACGATTAGGAATTTATGCACGCGTGATGTCAAAGGTCACACGCGAACATTGAGCGCTTGATGTTGATAAACTTTATGAAGAGTTAGACGTACAACACTTTCTGAGATAAAAATGACGGAAAAAGACGCGGGTAGTGAATAATCTGAGAATTTAATTAGGATTCGATATTTGTAATAAATAGTAAGCGATTAAAGACAGCATCGTCTTATGTATGCAATGAAGCAAAATTATGGCAAATTAATTAGTTTGAATATGTTTTTAAAGTTATAACAGCTAGGATTACAGATTGCTGAACAACTTTGGTTAAGTGGACTAGCCCTTACATGGTTCCGGTTATACCTTGAAAACCATACACAGACAGTTGTTATCAAAGGTTCCCCATCCAACTAAACAGTTTTAAAGTATGGCATGCCTTAGGGTTCCATTCTGGGTCCTTTATTATTTACTACATACACAACATCTTTAGGAAATTTGTCACTCGTAAACACAGTCTTTACTACAATTTACATGCTGACGACACTCAAATTTATATAGTTTTTGAGCCTTCTTCTGAACCATCTGAGATGTGCAAAATTGAGGCCTGTTTATTAAATTTATTTAAACTCAGTGATGACAAAACAGAAATAATGAACGTCGGCAGCAGCAGCAACTACTTAAATCTTAAACAGAAAACTATCAAACTGGCAATATCTCTATTACACTCAACAGATTATGTAAAAATTCTTGGTGTTTATTTTGACTCTAATCTGGACATGAACTGAATAGAGAAATTGCGGCCATGTGTAAAAGTTTTAATTTTCAGATTTTTAATATTGAAAAAATTAGATCTTTCATTGATAGTGACACAACTAAAATGCTGGTAAACACTATAGTTACATCAAGACTCAACTACTGTAATTCACTTTTGTACAATCTACTTGAAAATAAAATTAAACAACTTCAGAAACTTCAAAGTAAAGCAGCCCGGATCATAACCAAGACTAAACCAAATGAATACATGGCACCAATTCTGAAGGATCTCCATTGGCTTCCAGTCCGTCAACATATTCTGCTCTAAATGACGATTCTTCACCTCAATACCTTGAGACCTTCTCAACACCAAAATAAACCTTACAGAACCCTTAGATCACAACCAGACAATCTCTTAATTAAGCCCTTTTCAAAAATCAACTCTGGTGATAGATCATTCACAATTGGTGCTCCGAATTTATGGAATTCAATATCAAACGAAACCAAAAATCATAATCAGACAACCTCTTAATTAAGCCCTTTTCAAAAATCTACTCTGGTGATAGATCGATTGCAATTTTTAATCAAATATACAACTGATTAAATACGGTTCTAGTTGTGCTTGTGTCAGACTTTTACCATGTGTACTAAATATAATGTTCTCTGTTTTTTGTTTATGTCTTTTTTATGGATGAATGTGTTGTGATTGTTGTAATTTTATATTAGTTGTACTATGTAAAGCGCATGAGTTGAATTGTTGGCGCTATATAATTATTATTATTATTAAATTACGATAGACAACTATGGCATCAATCCCCATTTATATTACATATATATGTTGGGTATTGCATTTAAAGGTTTTTTGGTCTCAGTTCTTTTCGGTTTTATTATGTTGTGATTAAATGCATATATTAAATTATTTTACAGATTGGTTCATATGATAAACAGTTATGGGAACAGTCAGTAGAACGGAAACTACAGAGGGTGAGTCCCTAATTTGAACAAACTAAAATAACCAATAACTCAAAACCCTCTTAAAGATACTTTCCCAGAAAAGTATTTATCGGGTGGTTCTTTCCAATAAAAGTATGTCCAATTTGGTATATATGGAAAGTATAGACACCCAATCTTACTAGAAAAATACTGGATTACCCGAAAAAAGCCAAAGGGGCAAGCACTGGGCAAAATTGTCATGGTATTATTAACTGGCAACCCGACTGTTATCTGCCAGCTTGTTGTGTGCCAACTTGTTATTTCTTGATCAAATGGTTAGGCGGTTTTGGGAACATTGACTGATTGAGGGGTGTCAACGTACAAAAGACTCTGCAAATAAACGGCGGAAAAAGAAGTTGACAGAAATAATAAAGAATTTACTTAGGCCTCAATATGTATGTATGGTAAATGGACAGTAAGTAAATGATAAATACATTCTGAAAAATGAACCCTCCCACAATGAAGCTGAGCTGACAGACATTGCATCTAACAACAGCTTACTTATAGCTATATGGGGGAATTCAAGCAAATTTTTGATAGATTGGTTACTTTGAATATGTTTTTAGTCCAAATATATCATCAAATCACAAAGTTTGTACGCGGGAATGTATCTTTAATACAAGAATCTGACTTTTCAAAAGAGTACATGAATGTCTGATATAGATGTATATACCAACCTTTCTGAGATATGATGTTGATCAGGCTGTATTGATGAACCGATTATATTAGGCACGTCAAGATGAACATTGGCAATTAACAATTACTATTAGCTCTTCTATAGAAACAAGGGGATCTTTTTTTTTCTTATGCACTTTTTTTATAAAGTTATATATAAGCTGGGGGGTTGGATGGCCGAATGGTTAGTGCGTGCGCATTGTATCATAAGGCCTGTCATTGAGTCAACTGGCATGGTTTCGATTCCCCAGTTGTCTTTGACAAGGAGTAAGGTCGCCTGTCCAGCCTCATGGGTTTTCTCCCTGTTCTACTTGTTTCAAATTATTGAAATAAAATTGAACCATATGTTAGTCTCGAAATGAACTAGTTTGTGTTGAGTGGACGCTAAACCCCATATCTCTCTCTCTCTATATAAATATAAGCCTATTTTAAGTTTGATTGTTTGGATACATTCTCTACCCATGTATTCATTGTTATATTTTTAATTTCCTATTCAGGCACCAGCTAACGTTCACCATGCACCTAGAAAGAGTGTTCGTGTTAAAACTGAGTTTATTGATGTTGATTTAATTAGAGGCAAGTATATTTTAGTAGCACTTTCCGTCATCTAGGCCTTGAACAATTAATGTTGGAGTTGTAAGTCAGTTAGGTACATGATCAATAAAACCCTATCTTGGAATCATAATAATATGTAAATGTATATATAGGGAATATAAGTAAAATTTATAAAATGGCCTGACGAATCATTTCAACACGATGAAAGTACTAGCCAGAAATTGAATTTTTTTTCTCAAATACAGTAGACTCCGCATACAACGGACAACACTTATAACGGACACAACAGTTTGGTTCCGATTTTTGTAATAGAAATTTCTTATTTTCAAAGTCTTTTATAGCGGACACTGTATAACGGACAATCGTTTATAACGGACGATTTTCATCGGTCCCTAATCGACAGATCAATGTAAAAGTCCATTTTTATAACGGACTCTCGAATAAGCAGAACAAAATGATGATATTACAGATTTTATTATCGGTGACCGGAATACTTTTCCCAGAAAATATCCATACTGATTTTATGGGAAACATGACTTTTATGTAAATACATGTATGTTCTGTACATTCTGCATATGATAAATGTTGTTATTTCAATATGATAATTACCTTCTGGTCTCGAATTCAGGGTCGATGGCAGATTTTTTGTATAACGGACACCATTTATAACGGACGATTTCTTCCGGTCCTGAAGTGTCCATTATATGCGAAGTCTGTTGTACTTAAATTTTACGCCTTTTTTTAAAATGAGAGTTAGATCATTGGATATTATTTACTTATTTACTTCATTGTGTTATTTATTTCAGATTTCTTGGAAATTAATAAGTCGTAGTATGTTATGGATGACTCGCTCTATTATCAATGTAAAATGTGTTTCCATTAAGAACTCAATGTACACGTATTGAAATAGTAGTAAATTTATAAAATTATAGTTTTAGACAATTTCCTGTTCATTGTTCATTATTTCCTTTTCCCACCATTTCTTTCCACTTGAAGAGGATATTTCCTGACTAGTACATAACTTTACCTTGCACTATCCTTACCTTTCCATCTTTAATGACCATTTTTGTTGTTGTTCACTCAGGTTCTACATTTTCTAAAACCAAGCCACAAGCACCATGGACGTATATCACCAGAAAAGCTATAATACGAGTTTTTCTTCTTCCATTCTGTTACAGATGGTAAGATATTCTGCAATGCTGTTTACTTTTTAATTGCACATACAGGGATAATATTAGAAAGTAAATTGACAGATCCTGAGAAGACAGTTTGTAAAATTTTATTTTGCTGAAATCATTTGTGTGAAATAGTATTCTTACCTCTTAAAGGATCAATGTGTTTATGAAAGTCAAAATAGTTTCCTGAAATTTGAAATTGGATTTTGAAGTGTTGTTTTTCAGTAATATGGGGCTTTATAAATTAATAAGAATACATCAATTTTAAGGACCAATCATTGTGAAATTGAACTACCTTGGTGTGTTTTATTTTAGGTGGATACAACAAACATCAGCCTATTTTTTCGCCATGTTGTTCCTCCTGTACTGTTCCCAAGTTTTCACTCTATTTATTTACTATGGAAACAGCGGAGAAGCCATTGTACAGGATGTAAGTTGATTTTATGTTCCTTGTTTGTTACTTTACAAGATCTTGCTTGATTTACTTGTCCAAAAATTAAGATAAATCTATGCTCTTTTTTAATGTGGATGTATATTGTCATCACTCATGTCTACCCGTTGGTCTGTTCACATTTCATTTTATGTTAGCCCAATAGAGGCTACAATAGTCAATATATCATATGATATGGGTTTTCAATCTGATTGTTCGTCACTATTTTTTGATGATTACTTCCAGCGTTATGCCCCTTTATTATGAAATATTGTTAACACTCTATACACTTTAATTATTGACCCATTTTCCTATGGAAATTAAGGAAGGACCCTGTTAATTTTCAATGATATTCGATAAATAGGTTATTATCTGATCTTTTTTAAATTGTTACAAGTCATTGGTGTATGTTTTATTGCCAGACAACCATGTTTATATTATTTTGCAGGAGTTAACAGTGTCAGAAGTATTTTTTCCAATCATCATTACATTTATATTGGGTTTAATCCACTCACAGACAGTTTTATCACATTACTCACATAAACCTCCTGTTAGAGACATCAAACTCAGGTACTTTTATTATAGTAAAACACTTTCTCTGGTTCCTGTAGACTGACCTTCTGTCTATGGTTGAAACTAATAGTTATCTCATGATACTGAACTCATCTTTTGTTCTTATAGTGGATTGAGGAGGAAAAAATCGAATTTCAATTCTCCTTAATGATTGACATTTCACATGAGTCACTGATTGATTTGGACCAGATCTGGACAAAAGGCACCAACCTGACCGTGGTATGAAAAATTGAACCATAAAAATGAAAAAACGCAGTATTGATAATATATCGTCTGCAGAGAATGCTACAACAAATGTATTTTTGTAAATACTGAACAGAATTGAACCATTTTTGGACTGATATTACATTTATAGTTCAACTTTCACAAAATTGTAATTTGCAGGATATACAAAATCCTCGAATGACCAAAGTATAATTTAGTTAGATTAGCTTTATAAATGTCAATAAATGTTCACAGGTTCTGACACAATTGTCCTCATGCTGTTCTTGTCCTTTCATTTTTTTCTCAAAGATGGAAGGAAAGTATCCAGTATCTTGTTTGTTCATTTCATTATATTGATTGAATCATTTTCCTGCCATTAATTTTTCATTATTTTATTTTCAGAAACATATCAAAAGCCAAACGAAGGGCAAAAGAATCAGGCATACCACCGACAGTTAATGAACTTGTAACCAACTCATCGTCAGTTGTACGGGAAACAATAGATAACAGTGCCTTAACCAAAGAAAGTAGCTCACTAACGCTTTCCTCAAATCTGTCTCAGAATGGCACCAATACTCAATCTATAGTGGTTAACTCCCCAGAATTATCTTTAAGGGGAGATAACCCTCAGGCTGGTTGTGATAGGGATTTATCTCAGGGAAATGAGGGTAAAAGTTCCATTAGGCGAAAGAGTATAGATAGTGCGATCACTAAACACTCAACAACTGCTAGTCGATCTGATTTGGAGAATGTGGACACAGCAGTGACCATTGAATCATGTCCCAATCGTAAATCAAATGTTTCATTTGATGAAAAACCCAAGAGTAAGCTCAGTAAAAATCTCAACGAAATTAATCAGTTACAAAATAATTACGAGGCTTCAAGCAACAACTTCGATTTAACTTCTTTAGTGTCTAAGCCTTGTTTGGGGTGTTTGCAGTGTTGTGGTGAAAAGTGTCACAAAGTTTTGCATCATGTTGGTACACACGCATATGAATCACTGTGTGAAAATCATGAAAGTTTGTCAGACATTGAACAAGTCTCGGATGAAGTAAATTTAGTGGAAACTGACTCTGAGGACGATTGTCCAAACATTACACATTACGAGGAATCCAATCAAATGTCTGGGTTTGAATCACGAATAAATGAAGAGTGTTGTCCATCAAACAGCAAATATGATGATTTGAGCAGGAAACATAATTTCCTCATAAGCGGCGGACAATCTACGCAGGTGAGAAAAAGATTTACATCACTTCAGACAGAAGACTTAGGGGAGGTTTCTGATTGTGAATGCATCGATGAGGAAGTAGTGGCACAAGTTGAAGCTAATTGGAGAAGGAAAAGGAGGTTAAGCACAGCAAGAAGTACAGATCTTAGTGAAATTGCACGATCGAGAGTTGTGCCTTCTAAATTGACTTTTTTCAGTGAACACAGTTTAAGTCGTAGAGGAGTAAATTCATTGGAAAATGATCCTTCACAGTCTACTCCAGAAGATGGCAATCGGGTAAGTGAGAGATTTTTGCCAAACAAACTCAACCAATCTTGATAAACATTAAAGATATCTCATTTGACAGAATAATACAAGCCCATGCACACCTGTTTTTCAGGCAAAAATTGTCATTCAAATAAAGATACAGTAAGTAAAATGTTTCCTGCTCAGTTGTTTTGGTAGTGTCTGTTTGCAATTGACATCATAGGTTTCGTAATATAAAAGGGACATATCTCAATATCTTATGAGGACACATACAAAATAATCCGGAAATATTTTCAAGTAATAAAACATGTACACTCACTGAAAACAGTATGTCCACAGTATTTTATTATATATTCAATATGTTGTTAAAGAACAGTTTAATTATTTAGCTGTTTGATTTCGAGTGGTGGTAAAACACAACAACAGCTATAAGCTCTGCTAGTTTTCAAAAGTTAAAAAAAAGTCAATCGAATAATATATTCAAGGACCAGCACATGTCCACGTACACAATGTATTTTCATCACATTGTCCACACTCATATGGGTGGCCAAATGGTTAACACATGCGCATTTTATCATAAGGTTTGTCATTGAGTCAAGTGGCATGATTTCGACTCCCCCCTTGTACATGACAAGGAGTAGGGTCGCCTACCAACCTTGTGATTTTCTCCTGTTTCCTCCCACTGCTGAAGACCCCTATGCACAAGTGAATTAATTAAATAAAATTAAACCATATGTTAGTCCCGAAATGACCTAGTTTGTGTCGAGTGGACATTGAGCCCCATTTCTCTCTAGCTTAATTATTGATAGTTTCTAACGATAAATGACTTACAATTCTAGCTGTTATTATTCAGGTTGCAATCAGTACAGAAGAATGGGAAGATAGAATACAATCAGATTTAACTACATCGTCTTCGTATTCAACTAGTTGTGATTCAGCTAACGAACTTAGTGATGGTGAATCAATCAATCAACAAGAAATAGTTGATTTACATCAGGGTTGGACATCTTCAAGTTTGAATGTTATAAACCTACTACAACCTGTAAGTAGATGTATATAAATTTGATGTAGGCGTTAACTTCCCCATATTGTCATTGTTATAAAACTTCTGACAGACTGTTTTTTGACAAAAGGTTTTCACCAGTGCGATCAAAATTTATGTTTGTCATTCCATCGAATAAACTTATGAGAGTAATTGGTCATTAAGTAAACCAGATTGGTGAATGCATGACCAACATGAAAGTTATTAAAACACATCACATTGGCCGATATTTTATTATTTTAGGAAGAGTTGATATTATAATTTATAGTCAAGTTGAATAATGAATGCAGAGTAAGCTTGTACTAAAAAAAAATAGCAACTTTAAAATTATAATTATTTTATTGTACTTTTATTCATTTGAGCAAAAATTTAATTTTGGAATTCATAAAACAGCAAGTAAGTAATGCAGCAGTGTATATTTTCTGGTTTGATAAACAGAACCTAGTTTTTATAATACTTCTTATTGTATACCCGGTATACTTTTGGAAACATATAACCATGTTAATAATGTTTAAAATGATATTTTAAAAAAATGCCTGTGTTGACAGTTACTTGGGCTTATATTATGTATTTCCTAGCATTTCTAGCTTAATTACAGAGTAGGGTTCTTGAAAATAATAACGGAATGTCAATATTGTTATTTGTCATAAAGGCTGGGAAATGAGAGGAAAAGAGGTAAGCTCTTAAAATATAGGGTTGGTCAGGTAACCGTATACACAGGTATTTCTTACTTTGGCCTTACAAGTATGTGTGTAATTTGTAAAGGAAAAAGCTGTACAGCATATAACAATTCATTTTGAAAGGGGTAGATTTGAAAACATGCAGCTCTTAATGATGTTAATTACTTATTTCTAAACTTGCCAGATACATTTCCTTAACGGTTGAGAGGCTAATAACTGATTGGAAATTATTTTCAACCATTGAGGAATGCACAATATTTCAAGACCAGCACATTTTGAATAATAATACAAGGAGTGGATGAGCTCTCTGGTATGAGATATATCCAACGATAGTACATGCTGAGATTTAAATTACTGTTTGTATTAAATAACTTTATGTAATTTGTGTCACGAGAAATCTCACACTTAAATTTAAGATTAGAAAATAAGTTTTGTGGATTGACCGAATTATTCTTGAAGGAATAAATCTTTAAATACCCTTTTCTTCTTTATTCAGCCTACAGCATCAAACATTGGAGTCAGCCATGCCCCTCCAGATAAAGGTAAATGTTTTATTTATGACTAAATGGACAAACTGTCAGCCTTAAGTATTATTTCAAAACTCCACATATTTCTAATCTGAAGACAACATTCTAAAACATAACTGTGTCGAAAACATTTTCAAATCAAGACAGATCAATAGTATCGGTACCGTAGTTTGATAAGTTTGATAATCAGGGCTAGAAATTCACGCGAATCTCCGAATCTGATTCGCGCAAGGATTCGCATAAAACTTTTGTAAAAAAAAAAAAAAAAATCTCGAAGAATTGTCGAGTCCGACTTTCGAATGTCAGTCGGTGAATTTTGGATCAAATTTGTATGACTTACTTTATAGAATACTACATGTGTAATAAAATAAAATATTTATTGTGTTTTTGTTTTAACTTATAATTTTGACGAGTTTCTGGCTGGCCGTTGTCTTTTTTATGTCATGAATTGTATGGAAAATTCCCCGATCACGACACGGCGACTTCTTTTAGAAGTTGAGTATTTATGCAGTTACGATGAAACTTTATTTATTTTAACCCCTCTTAAATAATATTTAAAAGAAACTGCTTTAGTAGACCAACCTTGAAACGAAATAGCTTTGGGTTCCATGATTTCATTCTTTCGAGTGGCGATTTGATTCCGTTAGTTCCACAGGGGTTAAATAGGGTCATTCCAATTCTATTCTGTCACTGTCAAGGTCGGCCACGTGTTTTTTTTTTCACTTTCTTTTGTGCGGACATAATGTATTTATCAAACTTTTTCGGACAATGACATGGCTTCTGGAAGCAAAATAAAAGCTGTATCCAAAGAAGTTGTTATGAAATGGAGCAAGGAACTAAATGAAAACTATGAATTTACGTTTGACTCCGAAAATAAACGCGTAATTCAAGCCGTGTGCAAGGTGTGCCGAAAGCACTATAAACGAATAGAGGCTTCTTACAAAGGTAAATTGGTGCAAGATGTGAAGAGCTACGGTGAAAACGGCACAAGTTACATACTGAAGCCGAATTTAGAAAGACATATGTCATCTGCAGGCCATATAAACTGCTGAGAAATGGAAACCGGAGAGCCATCATGTAAACGTCGAAGAACACTTACTTCAGCATTCGGAACTGCACAAGAACGTTCATAAAAACGCCCTTCTCCCATTGATGAGATGTAGTTTGTTTATTGGATGGAAGGAAAAACCATACACAGACTTCCCAGACATTGTTGGGTTAAATGCAGAAAAAGGTTGCCAGGTTAGCTCCAGTTTCAATAATCCAAGAGCATGTAAGGTATTCAACCATACCATAGCCCAAATAATGGTTGACGAGATAAAAGAACATATATTAAACGGGGAATTTTATTCTTGGCTAATTGACGGCTCCTCTGTCAGTAAAAACAAATTGACATATGAAGGTGAACTATTATATATTCGTACTGCTCCTGAATTACGACCCCAAAAATCATTGTTCGACTTCATATCTATGAAGGATTATGGAAGAGTGACCTCCGATCACCTTTTCCATGGACTTTTGTATGCTCTTTGTCAGTTAACTGGGGGTAATGTCGACAGCGATGAAGGCCAGAAAACAGTTGATATACCTGTTCATCGACTTATTGAAAAGATTAACAACACGAACAGCAAGCAGTGCATTGGAGCTGGGGCTGATGGGGCAAGTGTGAATTTGGAGCAAAAAAGGGATTGACTGTCCAATTTTAAAAAAAATCGCTCATTGGGTTGTTGCAATTCATTGCTTTGCACATAGACTTGAATTGTCAGGCGGCGATTCGATAAAACAGACATTCAAGGATATTTTAGAATTTAATATTGAAATTTACCAACATTTCAAGAACTCACCAACTGAGTGGATGTTGCTTAATGCACTTGGATCAAAGTTGAATATCATTGTACTGCAATTTCCGAAACCATATGGCACCAGATTTGCTGCACATTTGGCTGGTTCTCTCCAAGCCATTAGGTTCAACTGGCTACCGGAGGATTCGCGCAGATTGCATATATGAGAATCCTCTTAGATTCTCGCAAAAAATGACGAATTTCTAGCCCTGATCATATCAAGTAATCATAAATGACATTACCGAAGATCCTAGGATTCCAGATATAGAATCTTGTGAATTTGTATTCTCTTACATCAGAGATTATCAAACTTATATTTTTGGGAGTAATAATCTTCTTAAAGATTATATTAGTTTGTTAAAACATGACAGTTGTTTTATGTGGTTCATATTTCATTTCAGTGAGCTGTGTTATATGGGAAGGCAATGAGTGTAAAAAAGTTGACCTGACAGCATTAGATATCGGTTGGGCCATTATTGATAAAGTCGACAACCTTCCAGAAAGTTCTGACTATATTTGGATTGGCATTTGTTTCTCTTTTTTGATCGGTTGTGTTCCCCTTGCCTTCCGTGCATACCATACCAAAGAATTACCCAGTGTTCTTAGCTACAGTTTTCTTATTAAATTATTAGAAACTGCATACCCATCATCTTGGAGGTAATATCATGTTTCATTATATTTAGTAATTGAAAAAATTTATATTTTTAGATTTTAGACCATGCCAAGATTCCAAATAAGTTACATTTTATGAAATATTATCTATGTAAATCATTGTATATTCATAAAAGCCTTTGATTTACATAATTATTGACAATCCAAGCACTGACCTTACTTAGAGTAAGGTATTTTTCTTAGGTGTTCATTTAGAAATTCCTTGAAAAGTAATTAAAAATTTGAAGAGTTAAACATTTTTTTGTCCTGGAGATGGCTTAAAAGCGGCATGAAGTGTCAATTTAGCTTAGTATTTTTATTGCAGGAGAAATGTTCTCATGGTGAATGGAATTGTTCAAAGATTGTGTTTGAGTTTAATTTTCTTCTTTTTATTATCTGTGGCTGATCGAACATTTAAACAGGTAAAGTTTTATTGTATGTCATCATTTTCCATAGTTAAGACTGTCTTGAAGACGGAAGTAGTAAATACTGAAATTAACTGATTTTTATCACATATATTCAAGGGAATCTTAAAAGATAAAACATACATTGTTGTGGAGATTTGATATTTTTTCAATAAATCCAATGCTGATACGCATTACGCAGTCGTCAGTCAATCAGCTGTTCAAGGGGGAATAATTCGGTTTTATGTTTTTCAGCATAGAACCATTTATTAAAAATTTTGATGAAACATCTTCCTGCTTATTTACAAAATAGGCTTCCTGTTAATTTCTTAATTTTTCGTAAACTACAGTAAAATAATTATCCATACCCCAGAAGTTCCATATCCATATTATATTACTATTTCGATGTAGTATTTACGACATAGTAATTTCTGCATGTTTTCACGGTAACATGTACATAGTTTGCGTAGCTACTACAGTTTATAAATGGGATTTATATTTTAAGATTTGCGAGTTCAAAATAAAATGGGAGATCGGTCAAGATTTGTATCGTTTTCAACATTTATTAACTGATAATCTAAATAATACTTTATCAGTTAATAAAACAACAAACAAATAAGTTCCCAAAAGAAGATCATTTTTTTCAACCCTTTATAGAAAAGATGGGAAATTGTCCCGTGATTAGGCCAGCATTGTCAAAGACAGGAAGCTATATCATCGGACGATAGGTACGATGAAATTACGGATTTATATTGTAATGAACAGTTAATAACTCATAGTCTTGATCATACTTTATTTATTAATCATGCAGAAAATAGTTCTCAATGGGTGGTGTGTCTTATAAATCCGCAGGAAGCGTTACCTAATTATTTATTCTTTAAACATCGTCTTTGTGTTTGATCCCTGATATAAAATAGCACCCTGTATTTCCCGACCGACAAATTAAGAAACATATGTACCCCAAGTATTGTGACATTCGAGGCTTTTTAATTTGTAACATTTTTAAATCCGTGACAAATCGAAACCAATTTCATCGAACAAACAAAAACTATGCAAAACTGCCGCGATTGATAAGTGGATTGCAAAAGATATTAGTCCATAGAATAGATCTTGATAGACTTTGTGCCAACCCAAATGTCAGAATATTATGTCCGACCGAAAATTTAAAATGCCAGGCAGAATGTTAATCCAGCCTGACATGATGTAAGACACACATTTGAAAGTTTTTATCCAGGCTTGATATTGTCTGAGGCTACTCCCACTTTAGCTAGATGTTTCTGTGAGGAAATTATTACTTTACAAGATAGTTATTGTGAAATAACATTGAATATATAACTTGTATGCTTTATGGGCTTTATTCCAGGGCTCTTGGTCATATCTGCCAGTCCTGATCGACTGCCATTGAAATTGACCAGCCTAAGAAAATTTACCTGTCAGACATTCACTTGCCAAAATGTAAGGTACATTATATAGGATTAACTATAAAACACAAATAAATAATATTTAAATAATTTCAGGTTTATCTTTGTAAAAATAATTATTAATGCTTTTTTACCAACAGATGGGATCTAATTTCAAATTGTACAAAATATTTTGTTCAGTTTTATTTTGGTTCTGTTTGTTTATAAGTCACTCTAAATAGACATCTTTATATGAACACTTGTGTGACTTGTCAGCCCTCGGCCAAAAAGCTAAATAGAACCTTGATATATAAATTTACTCAACTGACGAAAAGGTTTTTTTAATGTCCTAAAAAAACGAATAGAGATCTAGTTCTTATGCTGATGCCACACTCTCAGAACGTTTAACTTAGATGGACCATGAAAATAAATAGAACAAAAGTAACATCTTGTTTTAGTTCGAAAGAAAAACATCGGTCCCAAGTCACTGCCAATTCCATATTTGCCTGTCAGAACAATCAATCAAAATTTATTCGAACTTCCAGTAAAAATGTACTGTAAAAATGGCATATTTTCCCTCCATATTATTCACTTTCATATACCGGTACATCGTGAATTGTTCAGGTGATTAGTAAAACACTCAATTTTCAACGTAATTGTGATTTGCTAGAGCATGTGGTATGGTATAATGAAAGTTGTGGTTTTCACCAGGGCTCTCACTTTAACCTCAAAAAGACATAATTTTTTCAGAAAAAAGTACAAATTTAAGCATTATCCCATTCTGTATACCAATTTTAGAAATTTGAAACTAGAAATCCTACATGTATTTATCTGTATGTATTGTAATTTAAAGTTATGCACTTTCAAATTATGGTACCAAATTTTATAGCATGCAAATTAATTAACAGGTACCGGTGATTATAAATTTTGTTGGTCAGTTATGACTGGCATATATATTGAAATGAAAGCCCTGGATACCACCCCAGAAAAGCTTATAAAAGACTAACTAAAAAAAATTTGGTCTGAAATATTCATATCTGAATTGAGCAATCTGATTAAAACACAGATCCTATTTCGTTTTGTTTTTATAGTTCAAAATTTCGTTTTACTTGTCTTTACTACACTAGGATCTGAAAGATTTATTATCATTGACGTGTTTTGAATGGTGTGAGAAATTAGCCAATGAAACGTTCTGTTACGGCAAGCTTTAGGCGTGTTTTGCACGGAACTGTGGGTAATCCACTAGTAACATCAAAGGTGATTGGTTAATCAAATGTCTGATGTGATAGGGTCAAAAGCCGCTTGTATGACACCTGATGCGACCTATCGCTACATACAACTGCCCAGATCTTCATGTAGTGTAGGCCATCGAAAGTATAAAAAAAAATGAAACGAAATATAGATCTGTATTTTAATCAGATTGGGAATTGAGGGAATACATTCGTCATTTCTTATCTGCAGAGATCTTTTACATGTTTTAATAATAAATTTGCTTTTTTTAAGCCTATATTGTAACTGGACTTAAATGTTAGAACTTGATGGAATTGGGTGGGGAGCTATTAATCAATATCCACATAATATATGTTCTTAACACTGATTAGATTTTCATATTTTACATGAACAAACTTCTGACAGTTTAAGCTCTGTTACATAAAACACCCTTTGTTTGTCTCTCGATGACATTGATAATTGTTAACAAATCCTCTTTTGGTGGCAAACTAATTTAAGAAGGGTAGTTTCCAAATGCTTATTTGAGAAATTGTGGAAGGTTTTAGGATAGATATATGTTTTACACAAGGCGAAAATTTGACATGATATGAGTTTTACAATATTGCTTCTTTAAAGGAGCTAAATCGCTAATATTTGAGACCTAGAAATTGACCCAAATGGGTCACAACACATATAATAATGTAATCTGATTGTATATAGACTGATTTACATTCAATTGTTTCCGTTTTGACTCTAATTTCAAATCAGTTATGTCCAGCGAAATATGGCAGGAGTCTCAACAGAATAGCAATTTCTAGCGACAGGTTATTCCAGTCTGTTGCGCATGTTGTCCAGATAAGATATGGTGTCACTGTTTGACATGAGTTGTGGAATATGTCTAGCCTCGTTCTTTCTGGTCACTTGTTACAAATGACGCTGAAAAGCACTATGGTACACGATTCGTGTACCAATGGTAAAATGTTTATTTTGTCTTAAATATTGGATATCAGAAGCCTACTTTTTCCTGGTAAGATCACAAAATCAATGTTGATTTGAATTGACAAATAATTCGTATTTTCATGATATTTGGATGATATTGAGTTAGAGACGTAGCTACTTTAACTATTTACCTGTACTCTAGTTTTTATATGCTAACATTTTGTATATTTCCATTGACCCTAATAAAACAACACCGTGAGTTAGACCTTGGCTCGCTAACCCAGGGTTCCTGTGTTCAATTCTAGTAGTGGCCGAGAAAGTTCATGAGGATCACCTTTTCAGTGGTGAAGGACGGAGGGCTTGGCAAGGGACAATGTATAGTCCTTCAGATGGGACAAAAAAAAACAGGTCCCATGTACCCATTGGTATGCATGTTAAAGAACCCTTGACAGTTGGAATTTGAAATAAAGGAGTAGGCCAAAGTGCCGCTGTCCAGAAAAAAAATGCCTCATAGCACACTGTATGGCGTGTGCCCGTCTTCATTAGCCCAGTCGGAGCAGAACAGTAGGATGTTTAACCCCATTTCATTTGATTTCACAACAATACTTAACTTACCCAGACCACAATCAACTCTTGATGTCATCGCTAGCCTGCAATATTTACTGGATTAGAATCCTATCTGCTGCTCAAAGCTCATTGATGATTAAATCAAAATATGGATAATCGAGACTATGTTTTTTATTGTACCGACTTTAGTAATGATGATTCAGGCTAGGCCTAAAGGCCTAAAATTCAATCGCTAAATTTGACTGAAATTTTCAGCAAATTCCCTTTACATTATCTAGTTTTTGACTATTATAGTGAGAACTACCAACACTTTATCTAATCTCCCATAATGTATCTTTAAGTGAAAGTGATTAAACTTGGTGTATAGTTTCAACGCATCAATATCTTGATTAAGTTTGATAATGAGCATTTTCGGCTTCGGGTAAGCAGAGCATAATCAATTTGATTGGTCGAGACTTTGGAGCTTGACAACTTTGATTCTAATTGAGTAATAGTGGTGAAACTTTGTGAATAGTTACCTTACTTCGTTACCTTAACAAAGTTTAATGCTGAGTATTAGGCGAAGTAGAGACTTGATCTGATTAGAACACAATAACTCTCCTAATTGAGGTAGAATGTTCCAATTTGGTATAGGTGTCTATTAGGTGAATACCGTGACAGATTTCCATCATGCGCATTTTCCACTAGGGCTAAGCAGAGATAAGCAATTTGATTGGTTGAGACTCTGGAACACAATAACTTTGGTTGTTCTAATTGGATAAGAGTGATGAAACTATGAGTATAGTTTAATTATATCAACAGGCAAGGCGAATGTCTTGACTGAATTCAATGATTAATATTTCCTGCTAAAGCTAAGCAGAGCTAAGCAATTTGATTGGCTGATGCTTTGCAACAAGATAACTTTGATTCTAACTGATAGAGAGTTATGAAACTTAGTGTATAGTTTCACTGCCAGGTACTTCAATTTACTTCAAAACCTTGACTGAGATACATTGAATGTATAGGGTGCATTGGGAATGATATATAAGCCATTGCAAGTCAAAGCTGTTTTTGTTCAATATTTTAAAAAGATTTAGGCACATACCTTAACATGAATTACATCCAGTGCTTTTTTTCTGATTCATTATTATATCTTCTCTGTCAAAGAATATGTATGCAGACATACATTCTATGCAGACCTCCTGTATAGTGTCTTGTTTGATTTGTGTTTTGTTACATGCAGTCCTCTTGTATGGTATCTTGTCAAAAGGAAGAAGGCAAATGTCACATGACCAAAGAACATGTACTGCACATGTGCATGTAGGCTAGCAGACGTCAGTTTCAGGTAGAGATAAGGGATGCAACTCTATTGGGTTGCTAACTGAGACTTGATCATTTTCATATTTTTTAGATTTAATTATTTCATTGAGTGTTCTGAATAGATTGATCTCCAGTTAATATTTACAAATTTTGCAATGGTCAACTAGGCCATAATAGATTGGGTCTTCAGACTTCAACTGTTCAATTAAGTCATCATTAATTTGATATGACTTATATGGAATCTCTGTTAAATGATATGTGCACAGTAAAACGAAGACAGGCCAAACAATACAGATATTTTTTTATCATCTTGAAAAATAGACAGAAATTTATTTTGTGTTGTCTTACAGGTCTAGATTTGGTCTTGAATTTATATTTGATATGTTTTTATGGAAAAACTGATTCATTATTTGCGCTTGAAATATTGTACCTCACAAATATAAGAACATATTATTTATAGAACTTCATTGTGTCAAAAAAATAGTGACTATACCTTGTATCAGAATATATATTCTAAATCCAGTAGCTTATATCGCCACTGCTGTTACTGGCCAGATTGTCTTATATGTATTTTAAAGATAATTGGTTGAAGTAGGCCTGGTTGTCCTATTTCAAAGATAATTGGTTGAAGTAGACCAGATTGTCTTATTTCAAAGATAATTGGTTTGAGCACGCCCATTCTCACAAAACTTTATGCAATCTCAGGAGCCATATACTTTTATCCGAATTTTCATGGTTTTGTACAATAAAAATAACAAATTAATATCAAAATTTATAAGACATACTGGTACTGGCTTAAGCTAGGAATTGACTCAAGTTTCAATCACTGTTTATGAGAAATATATTTGATCCAAAAACACAATTCTTTGCACATAGTTTCTTATTGATGTACAAAAGTTTTATAAAGGGCTATACTTTAGTTAAGATAAAGGGAACAATTTTGAGTAAATTCTTAACTTAAGCCTGAGAATGCCTTGTGAACTCGGGACCAGGTAATTAATATCCTCAAAATATTTTATTGACAGTGACATTAACTAGATTTGAGAAAGCAATAACACATAATTTATTGCAGGAGGAAGTTTATTCTTATTAGACCTTATAGCATCAGCCATAACCATGTAACCTATTTCTTTGCTCGCCCATAATTGGAAACACAGCTACAATCTGTATTTTTTTTCTGAAATAATTATTTATTAACACATTAACCAATTTTAAGTATGCAATAACTATTATTTCTTTGCATGCCAGTTTTTAGAAATATAACTACTATCTATACTTATTTTCTATACAGTCATAAACTATAATTATTAATATATTCTATTCAGTAAAATACTATATAAACCTATTTATATTTTCTAGAAACTATCAAAATCTTTACTTTGGATTTTCTAGAAACTATGTTTTTTGAGCAAAGTGGTCCTGTCTTTTCATTCCTCAATTTATTTTATGAATTGTCCCTCATTAGAGTGGGTTTCCATATTTATTCATAGGAAAAAATGTCTTCAGGCCTACAGACTTTATAGTAATTGCAAGTCTTATTACTTAACCAAAAAAATTCATGGGCTGGCAAGGACGATAAGGGAACAGGTTCCTGTGTCAAAATTTTACCCTTCTGACATTTTTCTGACAGAGGCCAGACTTTGGCAATAGATATTTCTTATGTTATATGTATAGATATATATATATTTTTATGATTACCACAAGACATTTCATATTATCTCTCTCTAGTTTTGTCCTTGAGTGACTTAAATTTGATGAAAAACTATTGATGAATAGAATTGGGGTAATTTGTAATAAGAATTTCCGAAAATTTATAACACATATTGAGATAAATTATAATTAAGATAATTATGATTTTTCTAGACTCACAATTAAAACAGCCTCACATACATACAGAAAACTTTGTACTGTAGTCTCTATTTAAGTGCAACAGATGGCCAATAAGTATTTTAAATTTTCCTTATTTGAATTTAACAAGAATAAGGTCAGAAAGTTTTCTTTACATCCTAATTTAAACAATCAAAACATAACACAGAAGTTAGATAGCATCTTTGCCTCAATGGTCCTAGTAGTGATCGTTAAAAATGCCCATAGATGTGGCATAATATGAATAAACATTATTGTGAACTTCAGATGGCCACAAGTTGGGTTGGATCTGAATCAAAATCAAAATTAAACTGATTAATATCAGAAACCAATGTTAGCGATCAGTATAACATTTTAACTTTCTTACACTGTCAAAGTAAAAATGTGTCTTTATGAAAAGGAATACGTTCAGTTATGTTTTCCAAAGAAATCAACAGAAATTCATTGCATAATGAACTACCGTATATGTGTTAGCTTATCTTTTTCAGCGCCTTTTGTATGCAAAACATTTTTGCTATCTAACCTCATCACGAAGAGCTAGAAAGTTTGACATGCCTCATTTTAGATTGAGTAAAGTACGCAATATAAAAACATGGCTGTCCCTTCGAAGTTACCTCAAGGTAAGTCAACATTATACTGCTGTTCTATGTTGATTCAAAAGACAGTCTAATAATAGATATATTATAAATGACCATACACTTTTCTTATTATCGAATCAGCTATCAGGAATTTTACTTGCAATGGTGGGTAGGGCTACTGATTACCTTGTCTGTCTGCAAATACTATCTTGTTTCTAAAATAGAATGGTGTATGGATCAAAAGTTTCAATTTTGTTTTTTGCTTTGTTTTAATTGTTGTTCCCAGCCACACTTAATTATAAAATGCAGGGTACTATTGCAATTGGTTTGTTTGTTTGCCCGTCTCTTTGTAAAACCTGTTGCAAGACAATAACTTTGTTTCTAGTAAGCTTGGCTTAGATGTTCTTGACAGAGTTTGATGAGGAGCTAAGCAAACGTTTGTACACAATTTGATTTGTTGAGGCTTTGGAAAATGATAACATTGATTCTAATTGATTATGAGTAATTGTCTGTGTGAATGAAAAAGATACCTTGGCAGTTGGAAATAAAATAGAGTAAGCAAAAACAGCGGCTATCTGTGTTTAAATGAGAATAATATAAATGTAAATATTATTGGGTTTTTTTGGGGTTTTTTTTAGAGACGTGGACCCCAGAGATCAGTAGATGTAATTGTGTCTGCTACATTTCTAACAGCCATTAGTCTCGTCAGTTTAATGTGCTTACAGGTAGTGTATAATCTTTAAACTATGAACTTCATAAAATTACCTTAATACTGTTAATCAAGAAAGTAAAGCTAGCGAAACATTAAAGGGGTTGTCCGTATTTTCACAGAACATTATAAAGAAAAATTTGATGCCAAAATTTGTGTGAAAATGTTCAAATCAAAATATTGAGCCATTTGGAAATGATGGTAATTTTGTATAAAGGGGTTTGTTTTTAACTCATGCTCAGAATTTCATTATTGCAAAGAGTTTACCTGGCGGAATGGTTAGAACATGCGTGCTGTATCATAAGGTCTGTCAACTGACGTGGTTTCGAATCCCTGGTTGTACGTGACGAGGAGTAGGGTCACCTATCCAACCTCGTGGGTTTTCCCCGGGTCCTCCGGTTTCCTCCCACTGCTAAAGACCCCTATGCGCAAGCGAATTATTGAAATAAAATTAAACCATATGTTAGTCCCGAAATGACCTAGTTTGTGTCAAATGGACGTTAAACCCCATTTCTCTCTCTCTCTCACAAAGAGTTTAACAACATTTGGCCATAGCAGTGGGTGGCTGAGTGCTATCAACACACACCTCTCATGCTAGAGTTCTTTTCCACTTGTTGTCTTAAATTAGTCAAAAGTGTCATTCATAATTGTACCTGCATAAATTATTTGATATCAGTTGTTCGAATATATTTTCCAGTCAGGTTATTTATTAGGTTCTAAGACTGTTGAGGACAAATCTTTATTGTTTATTTTTTTTATATTTTAGATGTTAAAAGACAGCGATACATATTTAGATTATTTATGTAATTGGGAGTTGATTGTATGGTGTTTATGTCTTGGAGTATATTTATTGAGATTTATGACACTTGGTCTTAAAATCAATAAAAAATATAGAAATCTCTCAGTTCTTATTACTGAACAGGTAGTTACTGTTAACAAAATTTAGGGGGTGGGGAAATGAGGAACTGGGTACTCTAGACGATGGCAATATGGATCTTTAGTCAATTACCAAATGCTAATTAGAATTCGATTACAGGAATATATATGTTGGGTCACCTGCCCTACTTCTTTCAGTGGGATATCTGCGCTTTTAAGGGTTTGATCTTTGTTTGTACCATGAGTTGCTAGACTAACCTTGTGAGGTTCCATTGCTAAAGATCCCTGTACAAGTAAATATTGAATATGTGATAGAGCATTTTCTTTTCAGATAAATAATGTTGATTTCTGATTTCAGATAAATAATGTTGATTTCTGATTCAAATAATGTTGATTTCTGATTTCAGATAATGTTGATTTCTGATTTCAGATAAACCTGTATTTACAAATGGAACAGAAACCTCATAAAAAGGAAGAATTGATTCTGGCTAATAATGTTTTAAAATTAGCTGAAGATCTCCTCAAGGTATACATACTGACTTACAGCTTTGATTCAACCATTGGTTACTTTCATCTGTTGGTGGGTTTTCTTGGGAATACACTGCAGGTGGTCCTCACAGCTGACTGTCTGTCCATCCATAGGCAACTACTTGTGAACACTCTGGCATTTTGGACTGCCTTTGCTGTTTTCATTAACTTTTGCATGTTGCTGAGTAGTTATATGCTGCCCAGTTTATTAGAGACATTTATCAACTATGCCTGTTAACGTGTGTTAAATAACTGCACCTTTTTCCTATAATAACTGCCAGGGTTATTTTATTTTTATTTTTTTTGTTGATATTTTAAGAATATCCTGTCAATCTTTTAAAAAAAACCAGGGTAGAATTGTTTGTTTTGTCATAAGAATGCCCTATATTAAAATTCAAAATTAGTTACGTGGCAATTGGACACAAATTGGAGAAATAGTTAATAGATATAATGAGGGGCATACCATAAGCATCAAAGTTTTTAACTTGTTCATTTGTCCATATACATTACTAAATCAATATGGATTTCCTAAGGGATAAGTGGTTAGCATTAATCCACCTTGACCAGTAGTCAAACTACAGAGTTCATTCCACGAAAATCGTAAGAAAATGTGAACTCTTCATCTGAGAAAAAACACCCTGGAAGTAGTACATTATCCTTTTTTTTATTTTACAGGAATTGGAGAGTCCATTCAAGATTTCTGGTTTCTCTGCCAACCCTTTCATCTATAATATGACAAGAGTTGTCATTCTCTCTGCCTTCTCCACAGTTCTTACAGAATTACTTGGCTTTAAGTTAAAACTTTACAAAATCAAATTTAAAACGTAAGATTGAATTGGAACATATATTGTTGCTGTTATTATACAGTAATTTACTTTAAAATCAAATTTAAAACTTGTGGACATTTGTGATCCGGATATAAAAACCAGTCACAAGGTCAAAAATTGTCAATTGCATCTTTTCAGTTTAATGTATATTTTCAATTTTAAAGCCATTGATAGTCTTTTGAGACATTTTCAATCACTTTCAAACTGCAATATGGGCAAATTTGAACATTTGTTCAAAAATGGTTTAATTCCATTCACTTTTTACAAAGATATGAGGAATTTGAAATTTTACCATGTTTAGCATCCTCTGCCAGACTATACAAACAAGCCAGTCCTACCTAAAAGTATTGGGTGAAATCTTTTGGTGGGCCTCTTTTTAAACTGATTGAATCTACCATTGATATTTTGGTTTGGTTTTCTTAATTAAATGTTAAATAATCAATAATAAGTATGCTTCCCCTTGTCAGGGGACGGAGGGCCTGACAAGGACAGCTGTCTAGTCGTATGGGACGAAAAAACCGAGGTCCTGTGTACACATAGGCATGCACGTAAAAGATCCCTTGGCAGTTGGAGTTCGATATAAAAGTAGGCCGTAGTGCTGCTGTCCGGGCAAAATGTTTTTCATAGCACACTGTATTGCATATGCCCGTATGCCCGTCTTCAATAGCCCAGTCGGAGCAGAACAGTTGGAAAATGAACCCTATTTCATTTCACTTTCAATTTAAGTACAATTTAGTGTGGATGAATCATGAAATTGTTTGCAAAATGCAAATGACAATCATTGGCTTTAAAACGATAACAATACTGTTGCTTTAGCGTAAATTGAAGACACATTTACATTTTGAAGCATCAAATTATTGACTTACAGTCAAACTTCCATAACAATAATAGTTACATAAGCTAGGTATTTAGTTTTAGATTAAGATTTTAACATAACTTTTTATTATTTAACCTTTTTCAGACTGGTTTTGTTATCCATGGTTCATTTTCTTGATGAGTTTTGAAATTAAATTCAATGTTATAACTAAAAACCTTGATATAGTGCATTGAGTTTTAACCTTGACAAAAAAAAATCATAATTCCATGAATTCCATGAATATCAACAAATGGAAATAAAATTTCCAATCTGTCATACAATGAAGTCATATTCAGAGCATATTCCTATTATTGAGTGTACTGCGATAAAAATAAGCAGATTAATATAAATCTGATGTAATCAAAGTCCCTATGTGTTCAAATGAATGAGATTGTTTATCAAAGAAACACCTGATATATATATATAAAAAAAGTACAACAATAAATGTTAGCTGAGAAGTGCTATTAGGTTAGGGATCACGGTGGCTAAGTGGGTAAGACGCTGGCTCGCTAGCTTGGACGTCGGGTGTTCGTTCCCTGCATTGGCCGAGAAAGTTCATACAGATTTTTCAGCGTGGTTTCCCCTGGTCAGTGATGCAGGAGTGGGTGCCTGACAAGGACAGCTGTCTAGTCGTTCGGATGGGACATTAAACCGTGGTCCCGTGTATATATTGGCATGCACGTAAAAGATCCATTGGTAGTTGGAATTCCATATAAGAGTAGGCCGCAGCACCGCTGCGGGCAAAATTTCCCTCATTGCACACTGTATGGCATATGCCCGTCTTCATTAGCCCAGTTTAGGAGCAGAACAGTAGGACGTTAAACCCCATTTCATTTCATTTTATTTCGCTATTAGGTTATAGCAAAATAAAGCAATAGATGTTGTGGATTTGAGAAGAAAAAGCATTTTGGCATTATTTAAAAAATACTTAAAACATTTTTACAAGATTAAACTCAATGCAAGTCTTTAATTAAAAAAATATTTATTTTAAAATCTGTTAGTAAACCAGAAATGATATTCTTTCATGTAAATATTAGAAATAAAATCAAAATGTGTATGAAAGTGTGCTTCCTGGTCTTTTTTTGATTTTAGAAAGTTTTTTTAAAATTTGTTTGTGTCAATTTGGTTAATAATTCTGTATGATCGCCATGCATGCTTTGAGGTTTTCTTCTTTTAAATAGCTGTGTTTGTATATTTGTTTGGAGGGGGGTGGGGGCATTTGTTCTCGACCCAACTGTAAGTATGGTTTTTGCCATTGATAATGTAAAGTTGAGTTGTTGAATCCAGGGATTTGCAGACTTAAGATATTCAGTCCAATTACTGTATTACTAATTAGTTGCCAAGAAAAATGGATTTTTATACAAAAGTGTCACCATATTATGCTTTGCTTTGCTTTGCCAATGAACACATAGAATGAGATGTGAAAGAGTAAAAAGCATTTTAAATATCTATATTTAATTTAGAGCTCTTGTGGTAATGCATGTACACAGTTTATATATGAGGTAGCTTATCTTCAGTTAGTTAATTCCAGTTCTGCAGAAAAAGCATTAAATATTGATCCGGATAGAAATCAATGCAGTCTGGCAAAATTTATAAACATATGTAACATATTTTTGAATTGGTAAAATGCAAGCAATAATTTCTTGCATAAGAGTAATTTTATAACCAAAGAACTGGAAAATGAAGTGAGTTTTTTTTTTTTTTTTGTATCAGATCAAAGTCTGCTTTATGAATGTTAACAATTTATAACCAGTGTAATAATAATATTGTATATATATCATTTCTAGTCAAATATAGATGTAAACCTGGGTACCTTTCCTGTTGCCTCTTTTCTAGAAAGAAATATAGAGCTGCAGAGGTGTAGGCTACCTGCTACTGTGTAGTTGTTTGTAGTTGTGGCCATTTTCAATACCTGCTGCTGGTAGTAAATGCCAGTTGGGTAAAAATTAATGATTCAACAAGAGTTGAAAATTCTAATCAAATGGGAGACATTCGAATGAAGACTGGGTACACCATTTGAAACAAAACTGTCAGTATTGATAATGGCTGACTACAGTGTACAGTACACCGTAGTTTTAGAATCTTTTATTATTAGTGCTGATCTCTTTTGTGTTTATTGTGGATGTTCATGTTTATTTAGTGTTTGGTTTTTTTTTGTTTGTTTGTTTTTTAATTTTTAGTATGATTTAAATGTATTGGATAACCAATTGATTATTTGCAGTCTCCAACACCTCCGGGTTGATGCCATCAGAATTATTCCTAATGAACTTTTGGTAAAATAAACAACATTTAATGTGGAGTATATTGTTGTCACCTCCTCTGTCCACAATTTTTAGTGAACACTCTTAATACTAGAACCGCTGATTGATTAATCAATGTCGGATGTCATAGGGTCAAAAGCCGTTTGTACGATCTCTGACGCAACCTTTTACTACAACCGGTCAGAAATTCATGTAGTGTAGGCCACCAAAAGTATAAAAAAAGAAACAAAATATAGATCTGTTTTTTAATAAAATTGCATTCAAAGCTTGCAAGTGAGGACGATATAGACCCAAGTTCTTGACAAAATGTTTTAACATCCTGTTTGAATTTAGAAAATAACGAAGAACCTGTACTACCACTGGTTGTATTATTGGAAGGAATGTCTGAAAGTCTTCATTAGCATTTTGGAATATTATGCCTTTAAGAATGGGTTAGTATACTACACAGTGTGACTTTCAGAATATGAAAAGAGGCATGCATTTGACTTTACATATTATTGTTTATCATAATTGAATGGTTTTTTTTATGAGAACAAACTCGTAAGTGGTACTTTAAGTCAATCATATTCCTGAAGCAATGGTAATGAGCTAACAGTGCTTCAAGAATATGTATGTATGTAGTTTATTTGGTTTTTGTATTAAGTGTAGTGATGAGTGTAAAGTTAATTGATATTGTATTTATTAGATTAGTTACTATTGTTTAGTGAGTTTTATTTTTATGTAATGATAGCTCAGTTCAAGGGTCCAATTTTAAGTAACTACCCATACCAAATCTCATTAAATTAGAGCATACATGCAGATCGATTAAAATTATACCACCATTTTCATTTAGTTTTATTTTTCGGTTATTTATCCCCTTCATCTTGGCCTAAAAGCATTTCTGTATAGGATCTGTTAAAGATACATTATGTAATAGCTAAATCTGCCTATTGTAGTTCTTTTTTGGCTTCAAATGTTACATAAATCATTATTTAAACATTTATTGACATGACAAGCCCATAATCAACTCTCTGATGCTGATTTTAAGTAGATTAGAACATCACAGCCTTTTAAGAGTTTAATAGTAAGATAATCAAATCTTTGTCTCAATTGTCAAGTACCATTGCTACGACAATCTACGCTACATTTTGTTGAAACTTCAAAAACTAATAACTTTACAGTTGCACTGAAATTTTCAATACCGGTATATTCATTTTTCATTATCTATTTTTGAAGTATTATAGTAAGAACAGCCAGCTCTTTATCTAATTTTTACATGCCAGTACTAGACAAAGAGTATAGGTGTCTACAATATTTCATCAAAATAAATAAAATAAACAAGTTCTGAAATGAGAGCCATGCTTACACTGTGATTCATCTGCTTTAGGTACTTCCTTGATTTTAAGGTAGTTCATTTAAATTTGGATCCAGGTATAGTAGTTGTAATTAATTTGATTAGTAAAAGATGTTTATTAAAATGGTGAACATTGTTGACTTCCACTGTAATGTCTTACACTTTTGAAGTCAGTGTTTTTTTGTTGAGCATAAATCTTGATGGTTTCAACATTTTGACAATAGAATGTGATATATGTTTATACAGTCTTGTAAATTAATAAAATAAAAAGAACTAGAAAACTTGTACATCAGATTTGTCTGTTGAATTACCGAAGCATTCCATTAGGAATAAATCCAAATTACAGGCTACCTCTTGTTTTTCGTCCTCTGAAGTGTAAGCAAAGCAATAAGCAGTTTGGGGCTCAATAACTTTGATTCTGTTTGAGTGGTGAATCTTGGTGTATGCTTTCTTTACATCAGTACCCGATGATGAGCATTTTCTGCTTAGTAGAAACTTCAATCTAATCAGTCAAGACTTTGGAACACAATAACTTGCCTTATAATTGAGGTAGAATGTTCAAATTAGGTTAAGTGTTTTCCTCCCTTGAAGTCTAAGCAAAACAGTAAGTAATTTGAGGCTTGATAACTTCTATTATATTTGAGTGAGAGTGGTGAAACTTTGTGTATGCTTTCATTACATCAGTACCCAATGATGAGCATTTTCTGCTTAGTAGAAACTTCAATCTGATTGCTGGAGACTTTGGAACACAATAATAACTTGCCTATACTAATAATTGAGGTATAATGTTAAAATTAGGTTAAGTGTCTGTTATAGGTGAATTGGGTGGCCGAATGGTTTAGATGCACTTTATATCATAAGGTCTTTCATAGAGTAAAGCGGCATGGTTTTGAGCCCACACTTGCACATACCATTGAGTAGGGTTGTCTGTCCAATCTCATGTTTTTTTCTTCAGATACTCTGGTTCCTTCCACTGCTTAAGATCCTTCTGCACAAGCAAATTATTGAAAAGAATTGAACCATGTGTTAGTTCCGAAATGACAATGGTCACCCAGACCTTATTCTGAAAGCCCCCCCCCCCCATAACAGTTCAAGTTTGAAGGCCCCAAACATCCACTAGGCAAAGAAACATACTGGAATCCTGAATGTCACATTGTAAATCAACCCAATGTAAAAGAAACTGAGAGGTTTCCAAAGTTGTGGACATATGTATAAAGTTAGATTGACCAGTCTAAAAGCACATTTTTGCATTAAGTATTTGTGGTAAAAAGTACCTTTTTCTTTAAAGGTCACTTTGATTTGGAATTACAATGGATATTTTATACATTTAATACTGTGTTTGGTATGAGTAAATTACTGTGCAATGGATATTTTATTTTAATAAACTCCTACCAAACAACTGTGATTTAATTTAAGCTGTTCCGGCAAAATTCTATCAAGAATGTTCAGAGAATCTGTTTAGCAATTGTTCTGTCACGCTATACATTGCTGACTAAGAGAAACCCTGTCAAAATTTGGTCACAACTAATATTCACAGAGTTATTGTCTTATTATTGAAACCATGTAACCATCCTATCAGTCAGAGTTTTTTTTAGATTTTTTTTAAAAATATCCTGGGGATGTTCAGCTAATCATAAAGCAGATTCAATTTCAATTTTAATACAAATTAAAGCATAGAGATTTAATTAAATCAAAATAAAGCAACTGGTGTATAATAATTAACATTTATAAATTATATCCTCAACAACAAAACAACATTACAGGTTTACAACTGGGTATTTCAATTTTTTAAAATGATCATCTTTATAGAATTGTATAAATATGTCATAAATGTATGCACAAACCATTCATTCAATTCAATTATTGAAATATAATGTATATTATAAAGTAAAGCATTATTTAATCTTTCCAACCCAATGAACAAATTGTTTGATCTCCAGTCAATAAATTAACCCACTGACGTCATCAGGGTTACTGTCATCTCCACCATGCTATAATAGTCTTCAATCAAACAACTATCCCTGAGAACGTCTTTAGAGTGTTTGAGGAGTAGCTGACAATTACTTTGATGTCTTCACATTTGTCAGGTTAGTTTGTTAATTAAAGATTAAACAAGTTGTATATGAGGTTCTGCATTGTGGAAACTATTTGTATTCTAGATAATGATGATATATAGATTTTGCAAAAGTTGGTCTTCTCCTTTAAGGGATATATAAATGATTTTTTATTTTAAATTACTATCTTTGGCTGCTTGTATAGAATCGTATAAATATTTCATGAATCTGTGAACATCTTGGAATGAGCAAAATATTGGTACTGGAGATATTCGTATAACTCTAGGATATCGTTTATCACACTGCAAAATAAAAACACAAACAAAATCAAAAGTTATTTCATAAATAGTCATCCATCATGCATCAAACAGCAAAGCCTCATTTTTCCAGCTCTTTAAAAATGAGACAAACACAAAGATGTTTAAACCATCACTTTACAATTAAGACAAAGAAAAATTCAATTCAACCTACCACAACGCCTCGTTTTTCCAGCTCTTTAAAAATTGTTTGTATACATATACTAAATGAAAGCGAAAGTTGAGCTCCTCGCTGTTCTGGATCAGATGGAGTAAATATATCTATATATACACCAGTTGCAGACGCATTATTGGTTTCCTGTCGGCCATAGTGTTTTTTTATTAACATCTCTAGGTAACCTGTCAGTAATTTTGATTTCGTTCGGAGTTCTATCATCGATGTTTTATTATATATCTAAAGAAAAAAAATTAACGCTTTTGAAAACCATAGAAGTCAGGGGCAATATTTCTGGAAATATTCAGTTTTGATAGAGACCATCCTTAGGCCAATACTAACAATTTCTAAAACCAGCGGAAGCCAGGCAGGATACGCCCACATTTTCGAGAGATGGATAGAGAACAAGCTAAAAAGAAAGTGATTTTTTGTACAATCAGGGGGAATAATTCAGGAAGTTACGGTCCGATATGCGCGAATATCGAAAGGAACCGAGACCTTTGGGTTATAAACTTACATTTCAGTTTTGGGCCGATTTTCACGAAATTCGAACTCAGCTGTCCTTAGGGTGTAACGGTGATATAATACGGTTTTTGAAATCGGATAAAAATTATGACCTCTATAGGGTCCACAAGCTAAAAACGCGATTTTTAGTAGAATCACGGGCCATAATTCAGGAAGTTACAGTCCGATATGCGCGAATATCGAAAGGAACCGAGATCTTTGGGTTATAAACTTACATTTCAAGTTTCAACAAAATCGGATAACCAGCGGCTGCCAGGCAGGATACGCCCACATTTTCGAGAGATGGATAGAGAACAAGCTAAAAGAAAGTGATTTTTCCTACAATCAAGGGCCATAATTCAGGAAATTACAATTCGATATGCGCAAATATCGAAAGGAACCAAGATCTTTGTGTTATAAACTTACATTTCAAGTTTCAACAAAATCGGATAAAAATTGTTACCTCCATAGGATCCACAACCTTCATATACCATATTTTTACGCTATTTGAGAACGCTAAAAACGCGACAATATACGTCCACATGAAAATGTGGGCGTATAAAAATTGTGACCTCTATACGGTCCACAAGCTAAAAACGTGATTTTTCGTACAAAGAGGGGCCATAATCCATGAAGTTTCGATCCGATACGTGCCAATATCGAAAGCAGCCTAGATCTTTTGGGGATAAACCTATATTTCGTCAAAATCGGACAAGAATTGTGACCTGTAGAGAGTCCACAAACAAATTGTGGACGGACGAACGGACAGGGCTGACGACAATATAACATGTGGACGTATAAAAACTGATCAAAATCAGTTAAGATGACAGCTAGATAGTAAGCCTACAGTAATGTACACTCAAAGCCATTAAAAACGCAATGTTAAATTCAAAGTTTATTTACTGCAACAACTTTTAACAAATGTACATAACAATTGAAAAAATGGAGATAACAAGCAATTGTGGATAATTTCATGAAAGAATTCACTACAAGTGCACAAACCGAAACGTCAGAGAACTATGAAACAAAGCAGGGGTCAGCTGAAGTCAATATCGGGTATGTCCACCCTGAGCTCTTACACATGCCTGAAGTCGCCTGGGCATGGACTGGCACAGATGTCTCACTACACGCTGTGGGATTGATTGCCAATGATTTTGGAGTGCCTGTGCCAACTCTGCAACAGTTCGTGGTGGCATGGCTTGAGTTCGAACCCGTCGTCGAAGTTCATCCCAAAGGTGTTCGATAGGGTTCATGTCGAGAGACATATTGGGCCAATCCATAACACGGACATGATGATTGTTCAGAAAGTCTCCTGTCAACCTGGCAGTGTGGTGTCGGGTGTTGTCATGCTGGAAAACCATCTGTCGACGGACGCCATGTTGAGCCAGAAATGGAAGCGTCAACATAATGTTGAGCGTTGCGATTGCCTTGGACCACCACCAACTGGGACCCATGATTTGACGTTTATAGCGGCCCAAACCATGACGCCACCTCCCCCGAAAAGATCCCTTTCCAGCACGCAGTTACGAGCAAAGCGTTCATGTCGTCGTCGGTAGATACAGTGACGTCCATCGGGATTCATCCAAGAAGATGACATTTCACCATGGTGTGTTGTGCAGATACCCCTGATTTGCTGTCTGGCAAGCCTTCAGACTGTTTGAGGGCTGATCTGACGTTGCCGCGTTCCAAAAGTTCCCCTGGCAGTAGCAGTAGCTAGTCGGATGCTGTAGTCGGATGTGGCGATCTTGAGCTGTGGTTGTTACAGGTGACGCTCTAGGTCGGGGTCGATTGACAACTGTTCCAGTTGTATATTTATCAACAATCACCTGAGATATAGCTCTGAAACTATTTTTTTCATAATCATAAGGAACCAACTATACCCCAATGTTAACTATTCGTGAAAATTTGAGTGTAGAGCAAGTAGCACCTTTCATTTTGGACTGAATGAACTTGTTAATAATTTCTGGCATAACGTCAAATCTAAATTCCATGTACATTACTTAATATTGTGTTGGACATCAAATTACCGAAAATAAATAATGTTCAAACCCAAACAATTTTTTTAAAAATGTCACAGAATTACCTCTAAACTGGCTTTAATAGGAACACATAGAAATCCTGGGGGATTAGAGATTCTGTAACCATATGCACCAGGACTTAAATCCATTACTGAAAATAATCAATGATTAAAATCAGATGTTTTTCCATTTGTTTTGTTTATATTTTACTGGAATCATTTTTACCAACATCTGACAAATTGTATCAATTTGTTTTGTCCAATGAAAATAAGTTGTTCCAATTAATGCCAAAACACTGTTTTATTAATAAGCTCACTAATTTCCTTTAGAAAATATTAAATCAACTCTAGGACCTCACTATAGCTGTCTACTAAATTTTGGGAGTAAAACTGGTCAAAGATCAAAGCTGATCATTAAAGGGGCACTATAGAACATTAGATAAAGAGCTGGCAGTTCTCGCTATAATAGGTACAAAACTAGATAATGTAAAGGGAACATGTTGAAAATTTCAGTAAAATTACTTCAGGCTGACTTGAAATATCCTCGTTACAATAACACTGTAGCCTTGATTGTCACTGCTACCGTTGTTATGATAATAATCCATTTTTTACGGTAAATTAACAACCGCCATTCAACCGCATATTGGATTAAAATCTATTGAAAATCTAGACTATACGATGGCATATGTAATTAATAATTTATATAACATTTAAAGCATAAAGACAGACCTGCAATTAGCATATTTAGCACTTGAATAATGCCTGAAGTGTTTACCAGTAAAAGGGCTTTCACTGGCCAAATTTTTTATGTAATTTGTTTATCTTGGCAAGATATTTTTCCAAAGAATATGATCATTGTTAGCATTATCACATTTTGTTAATATGTTTTTAAGTGTTTTTACACTTACATGTAAAAATTATAAACTGAACTGAAATTCGAATACTATGGCATGTAAATTGACTGACAGATCAGTTCTCTGGTCAATTTCACCCGGAAAGTTATTCTTGATTCACTTATTTTGATGCTGTCACCAGTCGTAATGCGGTATTTTTGGATTAGGTGATGTGTAAATTGTTTACTTACAGTATAAACTGCTGTCATCACAGTCTTTGAAGAATAAAATAACGACATGACAGAAATGATTATACCTACCGTTATCCATTTGGAATCTGGTGTCCATATTATGTCCCCACCATCCTAGTAACTTAGGGAAATTATTATTTCTGTATTTTTCATGTAAAAAGAATCCAGCTACTGTACCTGCACTGCCACATAAATACTGAAAGAGTCACAGAAAGAATTAAACGTCATGAAATTCCTATGAGAAAAAAAAAACAAATGCATAATAAACCTGAATTTGTATATCAATTTTATTTTAAAAATCTAACCAGTTTTTTAAAAGTTTCATAAAAAGTGTCATAAGATTTCAAAAGTTTAAACATGAATGTGGGAGTGAAAACTGTAGCTCATCCGAGATTAATAAACGTCTCGCTATTTGAACCAAAGAAATGGTAGACCTCTGTCAGTAAAATAATTAACTATGTTGATAACTCTAATTTATAATTCAAATTATCAGATTTATTTACAATTAACGTTTAAAGGTTATCTATGTTGGTAGCCCAACTATAAATTAACTAGACCATTATGTTACAATTAACATTCTTATGTTACGATTAAAGGGCCAATCTCGATTATAATTTGGAGAATAAAACTGATTAATTTTGCTTTAAAAGCGCTTTAAATCCTCTACTGTAGGGGCGAGCAACTAACTCAATATACGTGATACATTTTTAAACAACTTAAACCTGTCTTCATCTGGAAATTGAGACTTGTGTCTCAAGCTGTATTATATGGTGTCTGGATAAAACCAGACTTTTATTTTACAAAAAATAACGTGTAGCTGAAATTTACCTTTTATTATCTAGTACAGCATGTGGGTCATGCACTGTATAGACCTCTAAAAGAACGGCAATAGATATCAGCTCACCCAGAGAAAAAATTGACCCCAAAATCTTAAAAGGGTTAATTAGGTGTCCGAATAAGCGGTTTTGATGTTCACGTCCAAATGACTCAACATATTGAGCTGAAATTATATTTTGGAGCTTAATTTTCATACGTACACAGAATTTTATTTCTGAAACTCTGTTAAAATCGGGATGGTCCCTTTAACAATCTTATGTTATGATTAATATTCTTAAGTTAGGATAAACATTCTTATGTTAGTTACGATTCACATTCGTATGTTACGATTCGCATACTTGGGTTACAATTAACATACTTATATTACGATTAACATTCTTATGTTACAATCAACATACTCATGTTACAATTAATAGACTTGTGTTACAATTAACATAGGCTACTTGTGTTACAATTAACAGACTATTCAGGGTGTGCTGTGAAAGAGTCTGTGAGTATGGTAGACTCGGAGGCTCCTAATTATGTTACATAGTTTGGGGACCCATTTTTTTTTTAATTTGGGTTCATTTTTTATTCTTGATTTTATTTATTATTTTATTATATACTGACAGGAAATTTCTTAATAGTACAGCAAATACTCTTACCTTATAAGAACACCAACAAGCAAAATCAACACCCCAGTCATGTAAATAAAGGGGTAAATTACCAGCTGCATGGGCTAAATCCCACCCTACATAACAACCCTGTAATATACACATAAATAACTTCATAACTTACATATTTATTACTACAAAACATAAGTTTTGATATAATAGAAGACTGTTGTAGTCAAGTGGTTATGGAGGAGGTTTCTTGACTAGAGTTAAAAACCTGAGAGAGAGAGAGAGAGGGTTTAATGTCCACTCAAAACAAACTAGGTCATTTTGGGACTAACACATGAGAAAACCCACGAGGTTGGACAGGCGACCCTATTCCTTGACATGTACAGCCAGAGAATTGAAACCACGCCAAATGACTCAATGACAGACCTTATGATACAGCGCGCACATGCTAACCATTCGGCCATCCACTCACCCACAACCCGACATAACAAACCTCAGGATGTTTCAAGCTAGGCTCACACAGAAAGCGTTGTCTAGTCATTTGAATGTCTACAAATTGGCATGTATGGAAATTCATAAAAATTTCACCTTGCTATACACTGCACATTTCAAATGGAATAAAATGCACAGAAAGAATTATATTGGATTGGCGATAAGCAAAACAAAGTCACTACCTTCAGATTATAATTCACATCTCAAATGTCAGAAATATGTATTATTTTAATGTAAAGGCCATTGTTATATGTAATTAAGCTCATATGTAATTAAGTATATTTTTAAAAAAAAAAACATGAAAACGAAATTGGCTTGTGGCATGTTGGGGCTTTTAGACATTTAACTGAACATAGTTATTTACTTTTCTCGTTTAAGTATTTAATTAATCCTTCAAATAGAGATAATAATAATGAAGACTTGAATTAATATTCTTCTGACAGACTGGTTTTGATTCCATGTTCTGCTGACAGACTGGTTTTGATTCCCCGATTATCAGCTTTGTGGAAGTAGCCATGGTAGAACAGAAGGCCTAACCCTGCAGGTCCCTATTTTTAGGTTTGTTCCATTTGTGGGCTAAGGGAGTGTGTGTATGGCTGATCTGTGGGTGGTTCAGCTTTATGCCTAGAACTGTGTCTCCAAGGAGACTTGCCGGAAAGGCCAGTTGTGCGTGAATGAGAAGCAAGTTTAGTATAGGGAAATGGATCAGCGAGTAGGGAATTTTATGGCCTTTATTCTAACGGTACTGTTAAGGGCCATACCTTTTTCATTCCACAGGTGTTATCTACACATAAAGATGATTTGACTTATATTATTGTCGTCAGATTGGGTGGTTTAGTGAAATCACCAGGTCTGTCATTGAGTCAAGTGGTGTGGTTTCGATTCCCCACTTGAACGTGACAAGGAGTAGGGTCATCAGTCCATCCTCCGCATTCCTTCCACTGCTAGAGACCCCTACATGCAAGCGAATTATTGAAATAATATTGAACAATATGTTAGTCCCGAAATGACCTAGTTTGTGTAGAATGGATGTTAAACCCCATTTCTCTTTCTTTATATAGTGGTCGGTCTGCTATAATAGTTACATTCTCTTCCCCCCGGTACTTGGATCTGACCGTACCTGTTTTTGCCCAGCCTGTGTTATTGTAGGTATATCAAAGTATTGTCCTGTATAATACTGTACACCTGATAAACATATAACAGCTATAGATTCGCCTTCTTCTTCTATTGTCTTTATTATATCTTCTGTCCTTAATGTAAACTCACCCTATATAAAACAATACATATAAAATATATATATATATCAATTTCAAAAGCTAAAATAATTTTTTAGAAAGAATTGCAATGTTCATCTAATCTTAAGAATAGATTACCATTTCATTTTGTTTTGTAATCTTACCAACTTTTTATAAATGGCAAGTTAAGTCTGTCAGTGCATGTACCAGTATGTGCAATGGAAAATAATTCAAATTGGTGGAATCAGAGACTCGAAATAACAAATAAATATGATTAGTACTGTATTCTTGCCAATGATTCCGAGATATAAATTCTACTAAACCAAAAAGTGCCGCTCTATACAGCAAAGTTAACAAAATAGTAAATTCAAAAATAAGCCCAAAATAATTTTCAAAAATTATTCTAAATATTACTTTAATTCAGACTTGGTAAAATTTTTTAAGTGATCAGTTATTTATTGGTCAACATATGATACTGTTGACATGCATCAGAGTTTTTACGTAATCCCTTCATTTTTGGCTGTATGGGGCACCTTATCATTGTGACAAATTAAGTTGTAGATACGGTATGTAACAAGTACAAAACTTTAGTTTACTAATTTTCACATTGCACATTCTTCAAGGATGACCTTATTTTTAATTCCCCAAACCTCGAAGGCCAAAACTTAACAGAAATAAACAAAATTTGCTATTTGCTTTGCTTATTCTATGGTGTCTCATTTAGTCAGAGCTGGTCACATGAACATGAGCATTTGTGTACAAATTTGACAACAATCTGATGATAACTGTAACCACTCCAGTGTCAATAAACAATTCTGAATGGATGACAGACAGATCGCGGGAACCACAATACAACCACAATTCAAAATTAACATGTGTGATTTTAAACAGATTACTAATTGCTCCACCTAGAAAAGAGACGATCACCCAAAACACACAGAATGTTGGTGCACTATAACCACGGCATTGCTTGAGACAACTCTCACTGGAAAGTAACAATGTTGAATTAGTTGAAGATAAGTTACCTCCCGTGGTTCGAGCAGACGTAAACTTGTCGCTGGGTCATAACCATGTAATTTTATCTGACTTTCAAATGCATACTGCAAATAAAACAACATACGAGAACACAATGAATGTCAATAAACTTTATACATAACTTTTGTTATGGCCTTTATCAATAGAACTATATAGTAAAGATTTATTGTGCATTACAATCAAATATTGGGTTCAAGAGCAATAATGGTATATTTTAGAACGCAACTTATTGTTGTATCTATAAATCTATGAGATTGTTTACTAAGAATTGTTGACAGGGGAGAAGCAAAATATGCCTACCCTTTTGTAGACAGAATATATGATTATAACTAAGTGTTCACGTCTAAGAAATACAGTCTCAGGTCGGATAAGTTCAAACAATAAACTAAAATATTATTTTAACTTACATGATCAGAGGGAAAAGCTTTTCCTTCACAAAGTATCTTATGTCTGTCTTTAGTTGGTTGATAAAAAGAAATCTGAAAATACAACATGTAGAAATTAACTGAATCTTATCTCTTTTCAATTTTCAACACTTTACTTGGGTCATTTTAAGACTAAAATACTTTTATTTTTATACTCGTATCTAAGTGTGCAGTGCAAAGGTAATGACTTCTGACAAGGACAGCAGCCAGCTGTCTAGTCGTTCGGATGGGATGAAAAACCGTGCACATAAAAGATCCCTTGACAGTTGGAATTCGATATAAGAGTAGGCCGTAGTGCCGCTGTCCGGGAAAAATTTCCCTTATAGCACTGTATGGCGTATGCCCATCTTCACTAGCCCAGTTCGGAGCAGAACAACAGGACGTTAAACCCCATTTCATCTCATTTTTATCTGAATAGGCCTGTTTTTTCTACTCTTCTTCTGCTCTAATTGTTAAATGTTATTTTACATATCACTAATGTTTTCACAGAGGAGCCTAGTTTTATAGGTACACATCCCGGGTTACTCTAAAACTAATGGCAACCAGACAGGAGATCTGGAGGATTCTTCACAATGAATGCAAAAACCCTCATGCACCATGGAAAGACTGGATATACCATGAAAAGTGAGGATGTACCTTGAGAATTAGTTGGTATACCGTGAAAAGATACATTAGACTTATATAGAAGAATGAAAAGGAGTTTAATGTCTTTCTTTTCTGAACCGACCCCGGCTAATGAACACTAGACCTATACTCAGTTATTTGCAGACAAAGTATTTTAGATACTTTGACTGATAGGACTTGTACTTACCAGCAGTAAATGAAGATTAACTGTTAATCCATTCATTAAAGCAACTTCCCCTTCTTTGCCACCTGAAAGGTCAAAAATAAATAAGGAGTAAGATCTAAAAAAAACCCCTTCAGTTGACCATAAATCTCTTAATTGCATGCTGTGCAAGTACATGGATATCTATGTCTATATGTACTAGTCAATGGTGTAATGAAAGGAATTGAAATGTGGTTTAATGTCCTACTTTACTGCTTCAACTGGGCTAATGGAAACGGGCATACGTCATACTACTGCCTACTCTTAGATTAAATTCCAACAGTTAAGATTTCTTTTACGTGCACACTAACCTCGTCCCATCAGATTGAACATACATTGTCTCTTGCCCAGCCCTCCCCATCCTACAGCACTGACAAGAAGGAACCATGCCGAAAAATCCCGGTTAGCGAGCAATCTGATTAAAATACAGATCTATATTTTGTTTCGTTTTTTTATACTTTCGATGGCCTACACTACATGAAGATCTGACCGGCTGTAGCGATAGGTCGCGTCAAGAGGTCATACGAGCAGCTTACGACCCTATGACATCAGACATTTGATTAACCAATCAGCATTGATGTTACTAGTGGATTACCTACAGTTCCGTGCAAAACACGCCTAAAGCTCGCCATAACAGACCGTTTCATTAGCTATTCCCTCACATCATTCAGAACACGTCAACGATAACAACTCATCCAGATCCTAGTGTAGTAAAGATAAGCAAAACGAAATTTTGAACTATGAAAACGAAACGAAATAGGATCTGTGTTTTAATCAGATTGGGTTTGCGAGCCAATATCTTACTCACTGAGCCACCATGGGTCTCACCAAAGCCGTATATAGATAAAGTTGCGACAACTGTGAAGCCAGAAATTTCATATGACGTCATGAAAATATGAAGTCAAGTGTACAAAGACGCCATCTTGGGTACCAAGTATTTGTACCTACTCACTATCTATTTTATGTCCTATCATACTGTTGTGTCGAAGTTGCATAGGCTTTTAAAAATCAGAATTTTTGTGCAGACGGGTAAAGTGAAAAATCAGAATGTAAATAGTAATTTGGGAGATAAAACCATTTTGCCTTTCTAGCCGGCAAAATAAATACCTGAAATTTCATGATTTTTGGGGGGTTGGATGGCCGAATGGTTAGCACGTGCGCGCTGTATCATAAAGCCTGTCATTGAGTTAACTGGCATGGTTTCGAATCCCCGGTTGTATATGACAAGGAGTAGGGTCGCCTGTCCGTGGGTTTTCTCCGGGTCCTCCGAGTAATTGAAATAAAATATTAAAACCATATGTTAGTCCCGAAATGACCTAGTTTGTGTCGAGTGGACGTTAAACCCCATTTCTCTCCCTCCACAATTTTTTGGTCTGGAGCCATTCCGGATTCGGTCATCGATCATTAATTGTATCATCAATTTTTCGAAAATAGAAATTTCTTTAAATTGACTAATGGATAAAACATTTAAAATCAGTGTAACTTAGAATCAGTGTAAAATCTGTGTAATTTAAATATAAGGTGTCTAGCGTGACATGTGTTTCAGGCATACATGTATGTTTCATCAGTGACATGTGATACGAGATATCGCTATCCGAAACTTCCTGGTGTCTTTTGAAATTTATTTGGGGTAAGACGTTATCACTCCAAGCCCATGAGTAAATAATAATATTAATCTAATATATAAACCGCACAAATTTAACAGATACAAATAATGTATATGTTATTCTACAGGTAGACAGACATTAAAGGGGCCCAGTGAAGGAGATGCTGTTGCTTTAGAGTTTGTCCTACTCCTTAGGGTATTTGCGCCCCATTTCCAATGAAATAATCATGTTGTTCTGATGCTCAACTAGTATTAAATATATATCGTGTTACAAATCGTTTCGAGCATGTTCCACACATCTCAACATTTATCAGCTTTTTGTTCAATCTATAAATGCCTACATTCTTACAAAATGTAAGTCAAGTGATCGAAACAAGAAAATGCATAAGCTAAATGGAACAATAGAACAAGTACACCTTAATGTCGACAAATACGTAAAACTATGAAATAAGATACTTCTATGATATGATTCAACCGAAAGGTCCTATATATGCAACATAGATATATAATATCTACATTCAAGTTAAACGAACCGCATCTATTTATTTTAAGTCTTGCGACAAGCTGAATATAATATGTATGGGTGGTTAACAGTGTATAATTAAAAACTATGATTGGATCCTTATTGCCAACATTTCAATGTACATATACCTAGAATTTTCTACACCAAGTCTATTGCATATAGATATTTAAAGTGCGTAAACAATATATTCATTTAAGAGCAACTATGTCATTTCAGGATTAATATACCACATATAACAAATCATACCCAACGGAAAGAAATGACGATTAATGAAAATTCCACCATTTTGGATTTCATATTGCCGGCCATTTTGAATTTCTACCATCAAGAATTCTCGAAATTAAATTTTTGAGATTATCGCTGCCCTTTTATTACTAAATTAATGGGGTTTTTTTTTTTTTTAAATTTGGCATTCATTTTGAAAGAAATGCCCACCACCAAATGAAAAATACACTTTCTAATTGATGTTTGTCAAATTCGATTTTTTGACACATTTCGCTTGCATAACCACTCCATGTTTGAGGAATTATTTATCCTACAACCACTGAAAGACACTGATTACGAAATATCGCTCTCCGATAATTCCTGAAGAATGCCTAATTGCATTCTGTTAATCATGTCATTCTGCCTTGGCCGATTTTGAGTATGATTTTGTAGGAAATATCTATCATTGAACCAAGCTGCATTGGGTTTTTTTGCAATTTGTTTAGAATAAATTGTAGTCTGTAAAACGTTATACCAGTACCAAGAAAAAAATAAAACGTTTTGTTAAGTAAAGCTATATGACGCCATGACGTCATAGTTTTTATGGCGTCATAGTTGGGACCCCAAAATGGCACCCTGTAAATGAGTTGTCGTAACTTTCCCTATACAGGGCTTTGGTTCTCACTAGCCAAAGGTATGCTGGTAACTTACCATTGGTAAGTGATTGTCATGATTTATCAAGTCACCTGGTATATATGGGATTACTTTAATGTTATCTTGGAGTAAGCACGGCATTAAGCCAGTTTGACAAATAAAATAGCTCCCAGTTGGGCCCACATTGCCTGCAGATACTCCAACTTTAAAAAACATTTGAACGTACCAACTATTTTGGCCATATCTTTGTCAATTCTTTCATCACAGTAAGCCCATGGTAAATCTCCATTAGTATGACCTTGAACACCTCTGAAAGTAGATAGAAAATATGACATCAAAATTACAGGTAAGACAGAACAAATTTATTAATGGTCACGTAACAATAAACCATCTACACAAGGCTAAGGTAACATATCACATTAAAACCATGACTACATTCGCCTACTATATTGAATAATGGATTAACTTTCTGAAGGCAATTTGTTAATGACATCCAATGGTTCCTTACAAACCAGTACATCTACGCTCGTAGTTCATTATCAGAAATACAGTAATTTTGAGTGGTTACGAGGACAGTACCTTGTGAAACACCAGCAAGGATAGTCATTTATTAATGATTGCTGTGCAGGAAATGGTAGACTGCCCATTTACTTACATATGCAAACATTTTCAAATGTAACTATTCAACTTCTATCAATTTATCAAGTTAATCATAACTTACAATTTAGACCATTTATCTATCTCTATGTCCATATATTCTTTTGTCTTTTTAGGACAAAGTCCCAGTGAATTACCACAGAAATAAACACAGTCTTCTTCTCCATTTACTATACTTAGATCAGCTGAAACATACAATACTTTGTATAGACTAGAACATAGATTTGAGAACTCTACAGAATTCAAAATGATTCTTCATTTCACTCATGTCAACAAGTAAATAAATATCAAAATAATTACTGGGGCAGATCCAGCCTTTACCAGACACTATGCCACCCCACCCCTCTAATTCCACCAATGGATCAGAAAGATATCCATTTGATTTTTCCTTATGCTTGGGTGATAACAATAAGAATTAATTAATCAAATGAAAGTAGAACATGCAACACCTCACACATTTAGGCAGATAAACATACTCCTTTTTATTTACAATATTAGTTTTAATCCATAACTCCATATAGCTTACATAGCTACACGTATGAATTCTAATAGACTAGACCATGCAGTAACCAACCCCTTCCCTGTAATGGTATGGGGAAAACATTATCTGATGTGATATTGATGTGATATAAATTCAAATAGTTTTTACTCAGTGAGCTAACTAAGAAAATATGTTTTTTAAATATAATATTCAATACTTACTATGTTTGATATCTTTCATCTTTGGGTAGTGAAAATCTTGCCGTAATGGACGAATAGGGTCGATAGTGTCCATATATTGAGCAAACTTCAAATCTTCTAAACAGCATCCTTGTTGCTTAGCAATAGCTTCTAGTTCTTCTGATGGTTTCATGTCTGACCTGGAAACAAATCAAATCATGGTGGAAAGTCACAAACTTATCAAACTTCTTAAATCTTTTATGGCTACTATGTATCCATTAATCTTTTGACGTGTCTGTCCCTGAGCGCTTTCTGGGCTATAAACTATCTTCCTGTGACAGTTGTTTCCAAGACGTTAGATTACAATAAGTGAAGAGATAAGGTCTTCCATATTGTAGGCATTAAACATTGCTTTCTTGGTTAAGATGTATCTCACCTATTTCACCTTGGGGTGCCAGTTGTACCAAATAATATTGTCCGGAAATCAAATGTCTCAGATAAGCTTAGATAACTTTTAGACAAACATATGGTCATTTTTAACAGTATAGTAGAAGAAGTTTGCATGGACAGCAGCGTTTCCGAATACACTTAATTATTAAATTTCTAATTTTAATGTGCACTCTATCTGTATTTGAGTCAAACTGCCTTGTCAACAGGTGCCATTTTAGTATAATACGGACAAAGTTCTAGAACTGCAAGATTCTTGTATTCACTATTTTTGCCATTATGGTTTACTGTTTGCTCCAATGATGAATTAGATTAAAAAAGAATAATTGATTATTGATTGATTCTTTGAGTGAATTATGATTGAGGTGAACCAAAACATCCATATTGTCAATTGTGAACAATTGTGGCTTTTAAACTAATCTGAGCTAAGTACACATTACATAGTGGGATTAGCAAAAACAGTATATAATTTATTTTTATATGACACCTTTTTGGCAACATATATTTCACTATTATAGCTATTTAGTTTCTTCTTACAAAACTGTATGGTATTATGGTAATCTTTCTTATCAGTCATCTGTTCTAAAATAATCTACATCGACTAACCTGATTTTGATAAGGACTATAGGTCATGAGATTGCCTGCAGTAGAATAAGAAGTGAGCCAATACCATCAAACTAATGAAATGAAATGAAACAGGGTTCAACGTCCTATGCTCTGACTGGGCTAATGAAGACGGGAAAACACCATACAGTGTGCTATGCAGGGAAATTTGCCTGGACAGCGGCACTACAGCCTAATCTTATATGCACGACAATGGTACCGTACATAGAAATCTCTAAATTCTACATAAAAATAGTGTTGGATTATTATAAATTTATGTTGGATGCATAGGCGTACGGGGAAATTTTTGACTGGGGCAGGGGGGGGGGGGGCGGTGGTGGTTGGTGCCCAAAAAATGTAGTTAGGTTCTTATTATAGTATGTTACATAATAATAATAAATTCGCTGTTAAATTGGATACATTCAAGAACACAATATTTTTTTATACAACTTTTACAAAGTACAATTGTGTGCCCAAATTTTCCCAGCTCGTACGCCTATGGTTGGATGTGGCAAGAAATGATTGCTTTGGGCGAACAAAGAAGAATCACAGTGAAAAATACAAAGGATTCCAAAATGGCCTTAGAGATGGGGGAAAAGCCTTATTTTCAAATTAGATGTGTATAGGATCAGTCAGTAACCGATAGTGGACAGAGTCCGATAAGAATCCGTTACTAAAGTAACTTACAAAACTGTAATTGCAATTGATACATATAAAAAAAATAATTTTACTCTTCTTTTAATTCAATACCACGAATTTGTACTTATTTCACATTTGACTATCAGATTAAAACATTTTATCTGGAGCCACTCTACTTGTCTTTGTTTGTGCAACATTTTTGGGCATCGATTATTTTTATTGATTGGATGGTTGGAATTCAGGTGGGCATAGAGTGGGATTTTGGTTACAAAACCACTGGACATCATTTGAGCTACTTAACCCACGGGCTAGAATAAAGCAGAAAACGCATTTGCCTATGTGAGAGATGCGGAAATTGACTCCGGATTTTAAAGGATTTTTGGCCTTCTTTTCTTTCCATAACCTATGAATGAAATTGGAAATCGTGCAGAATGGCACGTATGTCTGTCTTACATCAATATATAAAAACTAAAATAAAATCATACTGTATTCACCAAGAACTCACCTTTCTTGCATCTTCAGCTTTGGTAAGTCCAAACGAAGGCTCTTTGTTAAATATGATAAAACAAACGAACGAACGTGCCAATCTGACAATAAAATATAACCCTTGAACTCTTATGCTTTTTAACCTTTAACTTCCAAGGCCATTCAATCGGTAGTCTCCGTTCGGCAGAAGGGATGCAGACCACCAATGTTCTAAAGGCGAAAGAGACGGAGGGGCTGGTATAGCTGCCCCCCCCCCCCCAACCCCCCAACTTTCGGGCAATCTTATTCGGTCAGATGGGTAAAGTGAAAACAAAAATGATTATTTCATCTAGATGGAAAAAGTACGTGCCCGAAATCTAATGAAACACTTTTCTTTTAAATTAAATACCACGAATTTGTACTGCATTAAAGTTACAATTTCATATTTTCTAAGAAAGTTAAAACATAATTATTTCTATATTTTTTGCTCAAGAGGTTGCCAACTCACTATTATACGATCATAGGTGTCATTCTCACACTTAAAACTCATTTACACCGGAAATAATAACACAATTACCTCCCAATTACCTCCCTTGTTTTATATTCTCCACCATGGATTAGTTATCTTCAAACGTTGGAATTTGAAGATGAAAATGATATTTTTGCCAATTTCTAAACTGTCAATAGTGAATTATATGATTAATAGGATTATTCTTTAACAAGGTAGGACTGTTTATAGATACCATCTATTTTAAGGCTTTATTTTAATAAATTTTAAAAATATAAATTAAAAATATGAAATTGCAACTTTAACACGGGTTAAAACATTTTTTCTGGAGCCACCCTACTTTGTGCGACATTTAGGGGCGGATTGGGCCATCGGGCGATCGGGTGATCGCCCGAAGGGCCGGTCGGACAAAAAATGAAAAAAATAATTTTGTCCAATTCGTCTAAAAAACCTTTTTTCTGCTGAACATTATATTGGGGGCGGGGGTATTGGACCGGCCATGGAGCGATGATGATCATGTTGTATGTTGCCGGTGGCTTTAACGGGCCGCCACGGCCACGCCATCACTGGAGTCTGGAATGGGCTGGTATAATAGACTTTCTGGGCTGGGTGTGGGCCGGAATTCGGAATCTTGCAATGGGGATTCAGAATTTCATCCGAAAATTTCATCGGATTCACCCGACACTGTCGCCCGCAAATTTACTAATTATTAAGTCACCTGCGCCCTGTTTATGGGGATTTTAAGGCCTCAGCAAAATTTGGTGATAGCTGGTCTGCTGGCTGAATTTGACAGAGATTATAATCAGATATGTTACCAAATCGCATATTTGGGGTTCATTTTTCAAAATTTTCCCGGGCCAGTAAAAGGGGCTGCTCCGACACGGGAGCCCGGGCCGTTTCCCGGCCCCAATCCGCCCCTGGCGACATTTATTGGGCATCGATTATTATTTGTTAATGTGTATATGCAGTTCAACATTCTGATTGCATGGTTCGAATTCGGGTCGACATAGAGTGAATTTTCGGTTGCAAATCGATTGGAAACTTTGAAGTTGCTTAATAAAGGGCTAGAACAGCCGAAAAATGCATTTTGTGGCGGTTAAATTTCTCAAAATGCTCTGTGGGAGAGCGAGGTCTGGTTGGTTGGGATTCAGGTCAGCCACCTATGTTAGGCTATATTAGACCACTTTAAAGTTGCTGGAATAGCATTTGGAATTCGATATAAGAGTAGGCGATAGTGCCGCTGCCCGGGCAAAATTTCCTTCATAGCACACTGTATGGCGTATGCCCGTCTTCATTAGCCCAGTATAGGAGCAGAACAGTAGGACGTTAAATCCCATTTCATTTGCTGGAATAGCAGCAAAACGCTATGCGGCCGTCAGATTTTCCAGATTATCGAAACTTTTTCGGGCATTTCAGGTTCTGCCTCCTAACAGTCATCGAATCCGCACGCCTGTGTCATGTTTGGGTGAATATTCAGGGTTTAGAGACAGAAGACATTGCGATATGTTATGAAAACGGTGGACCGGGCAAAGACTGAAGAGACACGAATTAGATAGAAATTCGCTGGTCTGCATCCGCATGATGCATGAATGATGTAGTTATTCCCCTTTAATGGCAATTGAATGGGGGGACATTCGTTTGCGTTAGCTAAAAATGGCTTCAATTAAATACCATTTAGAAGGCAGAGAAGAGTGGGACGGACAATACAAATTCGAACCAATAATCAAATGTGTCCAAACTGTTCACTTCAGTCCACCCTATCCGAACATGGAATGGGTTTGATAAATAGTCTATACTGTCTGCTGAACAAACTACCAGGTAAGAGAAATTTGCCCGGTCTTCGATGTTTCGATAGCCTACTAGGTTTTCTGCGATTTCCAATATTGTCAAGCGTTTCTACCCTTTTGAAATAAAGTGATTATTATTATTATTATTATTATTAATGTAGCCTGTCCGGTGGACACTGAATTTTCGATAGACTAGGCACATTTCCCATACCATGCAGCCTCGCAGTGAAGACAGAGCTGACTAACCTTGAAAATCTCGAACGTTAAGGCCTACATGTACGTCTTTTTATCCCACACAGGATTTCAAATTGTGGAAATGTTTGATTTATCATCTGAATTGTGGTTGTTACGAAAACTTATGTCTTTATAATAAAATTCGTCGAGAAAATTAAGTCGAGCCCTCAAAATAATTAAATCGAGCGCTCGAGATAAATAAGTCGAGAGCTCTAGATAATACAATCAACAGATGTTTCAAGCCGTATAATTTTGTGCATCATTCAATGATAAACTTGAAGAATAAATATATTCATTTGTTCGTTTTACAGCCCATAATTATTTAGAGCGTTCGACTTAGTTACAATTTCATATTTTCTAAGAAAGTCAAAACATAATTATTTCTATGTCTTTTGCTCAATAAGTTGTCAACTCACTATTATACGATCATAGGTTATCTTTCTCACGCTTAAAAATCTTCACACCGGAAATAATAACACAATTACCTCCATTATTTTCCTATTCCCCACCATGGAATAGCTATCTTCAAACGTTTGAATTTGAAGTTGAAAATGATTTTATTGCCAATTTCTCACCTGGCAATAGTGAATTATAGGATTAATAGGATTATTCTTTAACAAGGTAGGACTGTTTATAGATACCATCTATTTTAGGGCTTTATTTTAATACATTTTAAAAATATAACTTAAAAATATGAAATTGTAACTTTAATTATCTCGAGCGCTCGACTTAGAATCTCAGCCACCGTAGTTTCTTGTTTGTGACCAGCTCATTTTTACAAGCTCATGCGGCGTTCTTAGTGTTTGCACATTTGTTAATTGAAAACCTTGTGCATGACGAGATAACAGAAGATATTGATTAGTGTCAATATTGTGTCGCCTGGTATATTATCTAGGATACAGGAGTTAACCGATGTTGAAACATAAGAACATCTTTATAATTCAATCCTCATTAGTGACATGCAATTCTCATTTACCGCAGAAAACTAACACTTTAGCTGTCAGACGTATCAAGCAGTGGTTTACGGATGCAATAAATATTAGACTCCAAGCAAGCCAAACGATAACTACGGTGCAGAGCCTAAACAGTCAGTCCTCTCTTGAAGGCCACAGAAGAGAAGGTCTCACATCCAAGGCAAGAAACGTGATGAATCATTTTAATCTACGTATAAGAAGTGCCACAGCACTAAAGTTGCACTCGTATGGGACAGCAATGATATCACCAGGGCACGGACAACAGAGATTTTGCGTTTCTTGTAGTGTCGCATTCGACACGATTGAAATATCAGTACTCATATGCTGTCAAAATCGTTTAAGCATTGATGGCAGTGCTCTATCCGGGTACACCTATTTGAATGCCTGAAACAGATGTTTGCCATCGGCAAATCCGATAACCCCTGTCATTAAAGTTCTTGTAAAAAAATGGATATTATGCAGTTGTTATAAACTGGCTTGCTTGCGGTCATTATTAGGTCATTCGAAAATTTGAGCCGTTTGGTTCCTTAGAATGCTACATAAATCTGGATAACGCGTTGTATTGATGTTGGACCCAATAAAACAAGGGCCGCGCAGACTCTAGTGAAATGACTGAAATGAATAGTAGTCGATGTGAACCTATATTTCTAAATTATATTGCATGGGGGCTGAAAGTAAATACCCCAGGCCTTCCAAGAATGAAATATACGGTCATAAACAAACCACCCTTTCCGCTGCTCACCCCCATTATTTGCAATTTGGATTGCAAGAGGCAATGGGAATACATATTGAAGAAAACCTTTAGGTAGGTACTTAAAGGAGCTAAATCGCTAATATTTGGGATCTAGAAATTTACGGTTTTACTGTAATTTCTAATCAGTTATGTTCGGAGAAATACGTCAGAAGTCTCAATTGAATGGCTATCTCTAGGTGGTTTCCCCTTGTCAGTGATGCAGGACGGAGGACCTGACAAGGACAGCTGTCAAGTCGTTCGGATGGGACGAAAAACCGAGGTCCCGTGTACACATTGGCGTGCACGTAAAAGATCCCTTGGCAGTTGGAATTCGATATAAGAGAGGGCCGTAGCGCCGCTGCCCGGGCAAAATTTCCCTCATAGCACACTGTATGGCGTATGCCCGTCTTCATTAGCCCAGGTTAGGAGCAGAACAGTAGGACGTTAAACCCCATTTCATTTCATTTCATTTCGGCTATCTCTAGCATCTGGTTATTCCAATCTGCACTGATAGTGTTTATTGCACATGCTCCCCAGCCAAGAATATGAGGTCACCGTAACACCGTTTGACATGACTTGTGGAATATGTCTAGCCTCGTTCTTCGAGCCCCTTGTTACAAATGAAGCTGAAACGAATTATGGTACACGATTCGTGTACCAATGGTAAAACGTTTATTTTGTCTTAAATATTGTATACCAGAAGCCCCTCTTCCCCGACAAGAGCACAACATCAATGTTGATTTAAATTGGCAAATAATTAGTGTTTTCAATGTCGAAGACTTTGGATGATATTGAGTTAGAGACTTAGCTACTTTAATTACTTGTAAGACAAAACCAATAACGTGACTGTCAATCTGAGACATAAATTGATGTAAATGGAGAGAAAAAAATAAAACAAGTACCTACTTGTCAAACCGCGACCCGTTTTCAAAGCTGCTTTGCTGTCACAGTTGCCGCTAATAGAGTGTGATATACTAGTAACAATATTTTATATATTTTCAATCATCTCTCCTTAAAATATCCTTATTTCTTATCGCTGAACACCTTGTATTAAAGATCACTCAGTGACGGAATCAGCGTACCACTATGAGCGCTCGAGGGCCACCCAGGGCGCTCCCTTAGTAAAATCGTTGTAAACGCGGGGGTCTCGATTTGTGAAGATCGGTTTCCATTTGTGACTTGTGATATGATACGGCATGCAAGTGTAGTTAGTTATTAAACACGCGAAATATTAAACATGTGATCCTGTTTTATTTATTTCTTGAACATCAACATGGACTTCAATATTTTGACTTCAATACACCCTGTGTACTTTTAATATAATGAAAGTTATAAGCTATGGTCTCTATGAATACTCTAAATAATCCCTCTCCCTCAAATCTCTCCGTTTACAACGATGCTACTAATGGACAACGTAGCAAATAAACACGACAACATTTGGTAGATCTTATTAAAAGATTTTAATTTTAAAAGAATGATATTAATAGACTAGAATAACAGGTGTTATAATAAACAACAACAATGTATATTATGTGCAACAGAGTATGTCAACAGGATTGTTTTAATAAAGATTATTAAATTACAGAAATTTCAAAGTATTGATTCTATTCGAGATAACGATATTTCACTGTAGAGTGATTAAAATGTTTAAAAGATATGGTATTAATAGACCAGAATAACATATATTATAATAAACAACAACAATGTATATTATGTGCAATAACAAGATTTATAGAGATTATAATAATAATATAACTAACAGGAATTCAGTTTTTTAATTCGATATATCATAGAGATTTCACTGTATTTCCATGGCATCCGTTTTGTATATTAGGTTTTAATTCTTATAGCTACCACTGGCAGCTATTCCACACTACTATTACAGCGTTCGTTTGTTTTGTTATTTTTTGCATTTTCGTAATAGCATACACAGAACCATAATTGTTAATGTCAGTAATGCAAGTAAATGAATACCTCTATGTAAACGGCTATTCCCTTCGTGATTCGAGCGCTGTATTTAAGTCCAAAAAACTCACGCCATTATTTTACATACGACACGAATCAACCGCAGCATTTTTTTAATTTTTTTGTTGAAAAGAAAACGTACTGGAATATGTCTTGTCAATTTTTACATGAAAGATTTTTTGATAAAAAGGAAACAACAATTTAACAATGGTGCCAGAATACTGACGAACATCAAAATTTTCAATGCAAAAGTGAGGCAACAGTTTGAATATAAGATTTACCTTAATGCAGATACAATCCTGAAGGACTTAACACTACAGAAAAGCTATGAATTACTTAATAAATTTATAAGTCTTTAAAATCACAGAATTGCGTGCCTCAAAATTGAACAAAATACATTCATACCACATTTAATAAAATAAACATTCATTACTTTAACAATTTCCATAACATTTCGTACGTCTGTTTGATTGGTAATGTTTTGGAATAACAACAGCTGACAGAGTGTCAAGATAACCCAATACAACCGGGACAAACTCTTACGGAATGTAACGGAATTTGCCGAAGTGCTACGTACGTGCATATACGCGAACTATCAAAAAATGCCGAAGACTAGAAATAAGACTATGATAAATACAAAATATTTAAATTGAAAAATGGTAAAAATGATGAAAAAGATTAAATGACTCGATGTTAGTTGAAATTGTGAATATCTTAAATGATTGCTAGTGTATGGCGAGATTGGCGCCTTTATGACCGTCAGATGAATGGAATTTTCGCGTTCCAACCATACTGCCAAAGTCGAAACTCTATCTGGATCTCACATCAATGCCCTTTAATCATTATGGCAACAGCATTGTATATTTAAAAATAAAAAATACGATGCCAAAATAGTCGATATTTTATTATATTTTTTAATAATTGGTCCGTTCAACCAATGGGCAGTTTTTTGTATCAGTTCATGGTCTTTCGACGGGAGTGAGCTCGTTGATATGGATTAGACCTGATGAAAATTTCAGCAATCCTGCGGCCATCCACTAACAAATTGATTATTACATATTCGTTTACATCATTAGCATGAATGATTAACAAACATTGGACTGGCGTCCATTTAAAATTAAATGAGGCAGAAACTGACGTCAGATTAATTAAACCAAACTGTTTATGAACAGTTCATTCTGATCTTTGGTTCAATCGATGATTTCAAATTATCGTAGTCTTTTTTCTCCATTCTTGTGGTCAAAACAGAAATCGAAAGTAGAAAGTTCTTTAATTAATCTGAGGTCAATTTCTGTTATAATAACTAACTGCTTTACATAATAGGCTATGTATTTATAAATTAATTAATTGATTGATGAAGTAGCACTTGTGAACAGTCAAAAATCCACTACATTCCACACAACAGATATTTAGAAAATTCTGAAAATAGAAAATTAAATACATATTAATCATAATTTGGTGAAGTCAAACAACTCCCATTACACACCCACAAGCAACATAGGAGTCTTGAATAGTGGGTGCTTTTAATGCAACGTACCTGAAATTCCAGTGTGTTCCCAATCTAGTTCAAATAAAATAAGTCTGATTTAAACAATTGTGATCGCTTAAAAGTCAGCGCATCAATTCATTGCCATTAGCTTGATGACAGGTAAATTAAACATAAACTAAAATCTGTTATTGTTAGACTAGCTGTATTGAAGAAAGAACAAAAGTACAGATGCCCCTTCCAGTGTTTCGGTTTGACTTTATATCCGATTGAGCTCGGTGCCTGATTTATATAGTTATAAAAAAGCGGCCTTCAGCTTAGTAACATAACAAGTAAAATAACACATTCATTACAGAACACAATGTACCGAAGTCGACCTATAACGAACAAGGTATTTAAAAAGCACTTGGCTGTTATGAAAGGAACCGCGATATCGGTCCAGTATACGTGATGTCATGTCGTAGTACTATTATAGTGTGTAAAACAATATGTACCTTCATAACTAATCTGTCCATCGCCATCTTTATCAGCATCTCGTAAAACTTCGTCCACTTGGGCATCCGTGAGACATTCTCCAACAGATGTCAAGGCTACCCGCAACTCATGCGCACTGATAAATCCGTCCCCATTTTTATCAAAAGCTCTAAAAGCTTCCATCATTTCGGCTTCAACTTGATCTTTTGTTCGATATCTTGGAGCAAAGTGGTGGAGGAATTCTTCAAACTCGACTGTACCATTGCCTACAATTAACAAAAATGAAATTTAAATATTATGAACTCTAATTTCTTTATACGGGTAACTGCAATGTAGACCCCCTCTGTTTCTATACAAAATTCACGCGAAACCCTTTGGGTTTTTTTCCCCCGATTAGGACAGCGTCTTTGATGTAGGCAGGTAGGGGTTGAATGTCGACTGTTGGGACAAATACGTGTACCAGAGCATGGTCTCTAATTAGGCTGTTACACACCTATTTTCGGAGGCTTATTGGAATAAAGAACATTTAAAGGAGTAAAATCGCTAATATTTAGGACCTAGAAATTGACACAAATGGGTCGCAACGCATATAATAATGTAAAATGAATGTATATAAACTGATTTACATTCAATCGTTTTCGTTTTTACTCTGATTTCAAATCATTTATGTTGGGCTTAACACGAAAAAAGTCTCAATCAAATGGCAATCTCTAGCGTCTCGTTATTCCAGTCTACACCGATAGTATTTATTGCGAATGCTCTCCAGATATCTGCGATATCACTTCGGTGGAAGCGGACGTTAAATAAAGCTATTTCACACAGATACCGTTTGTCTAGTCTTGTTCTTCGAGTCCCTTGTTACAAATGGCGCTGAAACGCATTGTGGTACACGATTCGTGTATACCAATGTTAAAATGTTTAATTTGTCTTAAATATTGGATATCAGAAGCCCATCTTTTACCGGTAAGATCACAACATCAGTGTTGATTTAAATTGACAAACAATTTGTGTTTTCAATGTCGAAGACTTTGGATGATAGATACTGAGTTTGAGACTTAGCTACTTTAAACACTGATTAGCCATGAGCCCTTAGCGTCCCAAACTGCCTATGAAATAATTCGATACACTACTACAGCCGCGCAGCTACTATCCGCATACAATCTACTTCACCAACTGACTTCAAATATTTGTTCATAATTTGGGGACACCACAAAGCTAACAAGTGTTTGTTTGTTGTTCTACTAAATGATATGGTGAGCTTCAATTTATAGTGTGTAGAAGAGTTTTAGGCCTCATTTGTAACTTAAATTGGTATTGTGCAAAAAGACATTTTAAGTGTTTTTGGAATGGTGAATAATCCAGCTTCCGAATCTGTTGGATTATCAAACAAAAACCATATAAAAAGGACTTTAGTATATTACTGACTCTCTCCTCATCCATTATATCATACTGACTACCAAAATGGAGAGGTAAAAGGTCAAGACAAAAAGTAACCTAGTCACACAGACTAATGTATTTCAGTCGCAGACGATAATGACGGACAATGACTGTTACGTCCGCGTCTCGATCATGGCGCCATGTAAAAAGCCATTAACACTATCTAATCCGAAGACTGGTAATTAAATTCTACTTAGTATAAAATACTAGGTAGTGCTAATTAAATAATAGTCTTTTCCACCCAGTCTATCATTTTGACCACGTGTACAGAGAATCGATTTGATTTGATGTTCCTGCAGATTGTGAAGCCATTTCAGATTCAAAGAAGGGATTTAGGAGAAAGCAAAATTACTATATACTCCTTGTCACGTACAACTGGGGAATCGAAACCACGCCAGTTGACTCAATGACAGACTTTATGATACAGCGGGCACGTGCTAACCATTCAGCCATCCAACCCCCTAACATCACTAGGGACATCACGACAGTACGTTTTTACGGACAAATATCTTAGTGGAACGTGAATTTCCAAGTGTATCCTTATTCATCACATGATGTTTTATCCATACAAAAACAACCCATTTGAGGTATGTCATGATTGTTGTGAATTAGGTTAACCCTTGTTCTTGTTATATTACAATTTTAACGCCCAATACATATTATGGATAGGTTCATTATAATTAACAGGTAAACAACATAAAAAAGTTCTTGTCTGTAAAAATGTCACATTAAAACAATGGACAGTCCATTGAAATGCGTTGTTGTTCTTCGTAGGGTTTAACTTCTGCGCTTACGGCTAGCCCCCGGATCCATTCACTTTTTTTAATTGTCTGTATGTTTGTGTTTTCCTGAGTATGATGTCCTGTCCGTGTATTTGTTTTTGTGTAAATTTTGTGTGGTGCAGTCCCCCTGCACTTACTATTAGTATGTAATGCGGAAGGATCTTTCCGGTGGGAGGAAACCGGTGTAAACCCACAAGGTAAAAATGATGTCCAATCCACATACCCTCCACTAAGTATTCAAACCAAGACCGCAAGTCAGAGGTGACCGGCAATCTTACTGTCTATAAATATTCACTAGAGGTACTGGCAGGGCCATATGACAGGTTTATTAGTTAGCTTTTAACAATTAATGTACCCCGTTCCTCAAATCAAATCAATGAAAAGAACGTCTTTTTACAATGTTTTTATTTGTTGTAGCCTACAACACAGAACCAACCAGTCGTAAATGACAATTACAATTTTATCCTTGTAAAATATGAGTGTGGTTTCCAGAACCACAATCAATAAAAAGACGCCATTTTGTAGTGTTCGGTTACATATCAACAGATCAGCTCATTTAAATATATATCAATCAATTTTGTGGAAGGTTGGGGCAGCGTCAAGGATATCAATAAAAATGTTTTATGGCGCTAATTGCACTCGTGGTTTATAAACATACAGTAACATTATTCCGAGCAATTATCATTTTGAAGATAATTCGTCTGAAATGTCTGACTGACTTTCCACGTGCTTTGGATGACCACATTGATTGTTAGCAGCCAAGGGGTGTCGATTCTCAGAACTATGAAACTACTTAAGTAAAGAAGGAATTATCATCAGCATTCTTAGCATTATACCATTATTTATTAGTAATTTCATCAACATACATATTATTTCATTGATGTGGTAATTTTTAACATTTGTTATCTATGTTTCTTTGTAAAACTATACAGGGGCGTTTGGTGAACTGTACTTCCGTTACAGGTCCGAAAGTTAAGCCCCGGGTTTTGTAATTTTTCCACAGATCTAAAGGTTTGTAAATTTTTGAGAATGCTCCGATAGCTAGCACAAAGTAAACTTTTATCAAGAAATCATTATTAATCTGTTACATGAATACCAGATCTTTCAACAGATGAAATCAAGTCCTACCACCTGGTAAATAATGAAAAACGAACTTCTCGAAACTAAAATCGAGCTAACTTCATACTGCCTTGATATAGTGGCGGCTAAAAAGTTAAGAAATATCAAAATAAAATTTAGCAGTTTTCGCTAAACTTTGGAAATGCAATGCTACTTGTTAACTTTCTCTAAAGCGCGAAAGGTGACAAACACACCAAGATTTAATGATACCGAACAACAACTTCACTTGACATAGACTAGAACTGATTAATAGCAACCATCATGTTGCTGCGTAAATTGTATTGGTGTTCATCATTTATTAATTAAAAGTGGAAACACAGTAATGACATTATTAACACAAGTTGAATAAATGTAACACAGTGATAAATTATTACTTTATAACAGTTGTTCATTTTGTCGTATACTAATTGCTTTACCTCATTGCGACTCGTTAATATGATGGCAGAGTTTCATGTGGCCTATTGTGATAAAGCACCGAAATTTACACTTGAGGCATTTTCTCATATAATCATTCAAAGCGGCGGTGCGTTCATTCTATATTCTATCTATACTTATATTTGTGACTGTCGTTTATTTGTCTGTTAAGGGTTGGCAGCTATACAATTGGGCTGGCATAAAGCTGAAATTTGGTGTATATGGGTAACATAAGCCTGGTGGCGCTGCACTATCGCTTCCGGTTTCTGAGTTATACTACTTTCGGTCTCGGACACAACCCATGCAGCGCCCGGCCATCCGTTAGTATCATCATGGTACATGTATTATAAGGTCCATGGTATCATATATATTGATTAAAGTAAATTTTTACTAAATGTCATTGTGCTTGATAACGACAAGAGGATACTTGACGAAATGTGATATTAGAATAAACCAGTGACTGATATTCCCTAAAAAATGTGTTTTGCTTAAATGCCGCATAAAGATTATGTTTCAAACACGTACATTTCTATGCGTAATTACCGTGTAAGACTTCCAAGGTATGGTATGAAGTTCACGGAACATCTCCGAAGAATCCAGATTGATTGGCTTTTGTTCAGGGAAACTGTTGATGATATCAAGAGTATATAAAGAGAATTAACATAAAATTCTTAATAAGTTTTCGAAAAGAACTTTCATGTATAGATTGTAACATACAATATTTTGAATCTCTACAGCAGATGTCACTTTTATACAATGATATCCAGTGGCCTCGTTAATCGTGTTTAATTCGTTTCAGGATATTTGATCGGTTCTGGAAAAAATGTTCTGCAATATGTAGTTCATCCAGTAAGGCTTTCGTTGACACTTTATAGAAAAGTGATTGTAACAACCGTGAAAGAAGACAGTTTAATGAAATAACATCGATGTCGTCAGACCGAGATGTTTAAATAATTTATTGATAAATGGTTTAATGAATGAAGAATAACAAAGGAAACATTGTCTGTTCATGCTACATCACGGTTTATAACACGATATATGGATCGCGTTCGTTATTTAGTTAATGACTGTTGTTGAGTGCAGGATATAGAGCAGTGACGCAATTAGCTTCTTTTTAATAGGTCTCGGTGCGTTAATTGCATTTTTTTTTGAAAATATCATGCTACGCATGCTAAAATGTAGGCTACTTAGGTAGATTATTTAACATGTTGTTACGTATCAAAAATCAATATATCAACGATGGATAATCTCCCGACTTGGATTAAAAAGATGCCCATTTAAAGGTTTTAGCGAAGATTAGAGGTGACACTGGCTTTGACCATACGCCATTTCAATTTATCATTTCTGTGTAAGTTTCAGTACTCAACTAAATTGAATCATTTAGAGATGCGGTATCTGCTTCAGTGTCTACAATATCTTGCAGTTTGCAGGGCGTTACATCGAGTGTAATTCATTCAAATGGCAGTCATCAAATCTTAATTATTCAAATATTCTAATCCCAACACTAATCTAACAAAACCTTTTAATCATTCGCTCAACCCTTAGTTTGTGCCAGATATGGAAGACTTTGCATGCCACTGCAAGGTATAACGTAACGTGTGTTCCACAGCTTCCTTGCTACCGCATTGGTTTACCAGTTGAAAGACAATTTATTTAACCGGGAAACAGACAACCAAATTGACGAGAATCTATAGGAATATGTGCAAAGGCTCAGATTAAGTTACACAAAATTCCATTGAGCGTTCGTCCTCTAGTCTCCTCAAGAGGATCTATTTAACCGGGAAACAGACAACCAAATTGACGAGAATCTATAGGAACATGTGAAAAGGCTCAGATTAAGTTACACAAAATTCCATTGAGCGTTCGTCCTCTAGTCTCCTCAAGAGGATCTATACAGCATAGCTACTTTATAAACCCAGCTGATTCGTATATAAAGGATTCGTCGGATTTCTGCAACAGTAAATCAGACTAATCAAAACATGGTTGATTTTCAGGGGGATGGGGCAAATTCTTTACTAATATTCCAATCTCGGAAGCGCACGATGTTACCAGCCCGTAAGTCTAAGAATTACTACCAAATAGAAAACATTACCGACCCCGCCAATTTCACTCGCAAGATTGTTTTTTTCGAGAAAGTACATGATCTACCTGTGGGATCTCCTTTTACCCTTCGTATAACAGACATTTACATGACATCCTTTGAATACGCTGCTTTAAAAACCTTATCATTTCAAACACCTTCTAGTATCGAACAGTAGATGATACATTTGTTGTCGTAGAAGAACGTCAAGATGAAAACGAAGCCTTGGGTAACAAATCAGTTATAGAGCAAGTGTATGCACCAAGTATCGGCAACATAAGTTCAAAGAAAACTAGAATTCTGGAGAAATATAATACAGAAAAAAACATTTTCACTGGTGTGAACCCATTGAACCCCATACGATTTTGATCTACGATGTAAGATATACTGTCCACTACATATATACACGTATTTAATTACGGACATAATAATTTCCACATGTAGTGACAATTCTCTTGATTAAATAGAATTGCACAATCAGGAGCTACAAGGTGATAGATATAGACCCATATTTTGACCTATCCAGAGATTGCCGGAGGTACTACATATGAGAACGTATCCGTCTCGGGGGGCGGGGGCTAGTGGTCTAGAGTGTCACGCTTCGACCTCTAGCTGGCCGGTCACCTCTGGCTTGCAGTATCGATCCCTGGTGTGAGCGTATGTGGCTTGGAGATAGGGGCGCCTTCTCAACCTTGTGGGTTTACTCCGGGTACTCCAGTTTCCTCCCGCAGGAAAGACCCCTGCGCGTGCGCTAAGATAATTAAAAAATGAAAAAATAAGACTTGTCTGTGATATCGCCTTCGGACGTTCAACACTAAAAAAACAACAACAGCAACACATCCGTCTTCACTAGATTCCCAGAAAATTGGCCTCGAACATGGTTTTAGACACAAATTTTCGAAAATTGTCTCGTATTTTCGAACCTAAAGAACCCGGTATATGAGCACCTAAAATTCTGAAACTTGGTGTAATTATAGTGTGTATACTAATGTCTCCAACATATGTTAAAGTCATTCTTGTCCCATGCCATCTTGATATTTTTTCCATTATTTCCAAATGTGTGGTTTGGGTCATTCCATGTCAATTATCGCCCAATGAGCTTGATCCGACTAACGGTTCCTGAGATACGGTCCACCCAATTTTGGGGATTTCGGCCAAGATGGGCGTGGGCGCTGTTATTCAAAAGACCATAACCCAGTAACCGATAGGTCAAAATTACTGGAATAAGTATTTCTGGAATGGGAAAGAGGATGTCTTACTGTTTGAATCATAGTTGTCTAGCGTTAGGAAAGTCTGCGGCAGTTTACTATGTATCATCAGAGCTTATCCATGATCATAATCCTGCTTTAAGTGCAAAGACACTGATTTTCAGCCGCAAGTGTGAATATATAAGTTGATTTTGCGTGTTTATAAAAGATATTGTACCCCCAATTGTTTGACATTGTGTAGAAAACATGTTGAGCTAAATTTTTCATGAAAGTTAATCTCAAGATCACATGGTCTACATGGTCAAATTTAAAAGTTCTCCACTCTTTAAAACACACCCGGATGTCAAATATAAGTGTAGATTTAGAGTTCTTGTGGAATTCCCATTCCAGAAATACTTATTCCAACAATTTTGAAGTATCGGTTACTGGGTTATAGTCATAATCTGATTGCAGATTCGTAATCAAAACAAAAAGTTCTTTAAGACACCAAATGCGAGCTGTATATCTTCACTAGAAAGGTAAAAATAAGATATCTGCAACTCGAGTAAATTATTGATACATATCTTGTTTCGAAAACTCACCGGTTTTTCCCGACAAAATGGATGATAATTTTTATATAAAAAAAAAAGGTTTATATTGTTTTCCACCAACTGGAATATTTTATCTGCCAAAAATATGTGATAAAAAATACAACATATGTAACAGTTTTATGTCTCAGGTAGGCCTATTATAAAACAATTACCGATATATACAATATATACATCTTTAAAAATCTGTCTTTACATAATCCATTAACACAGTTTTGATTTACTAATATAAGATATTATTTTTGGTGACTTTGGTCTATTTGCACACGGTAACTCATGAAACTCAAATGCCCGTATCCCAGTCAATTTTCAAGCTACAAACCACAAAGTTTGCACAGTTTCTAGTTTTTACATGTACATTAACATATATTATTTTCCAGATTGTTTCGAGATTATGGCTCTTATAATTATCACTATAAATTGTCGTTACTGTAAGCCATTTTGAAATATTTAGATGTCCTTTTTTTCACCTTATTGTCTAAGCTGTCTATAGTTTTGTTGTGCATTCGTCCAGCATTGTCTATTATTTGTCGATAATTCGCATTTCTGTGGAAGCCATTGTAAAATGGACACTTGGCAGTATAAGCCAATTCTAGCTAAAGAGTCAAATATCATCAATTATTCATGGCGACTGTGAGCTATTTATTGATACACTTGGTGTTAATGGGTAGATTGGGATAGAATCAGCTTCGGGGATACAAACCAATTCGATCATTAATCTAACTGATATATGGAGTACGCTATTAGGTTGAACGCCGGTCGTAAAGAACACATTATTAGATGGTCTTGCACAGGAAGTAAGCAAAAAAGTAACGACGAAGTGGTATTATGACAGTAATTCGTTCCCTTTTACATATCACACATAGGTCGAAAATTTTGTTATTTATATTTAAAGATGAATCCCATGACTTTCTATGCTGTCTTGTGTAAATACCTTTCGAAAGAGGAGCCGATCAATGTATAATGTAGGGTATGAGAAGGACGAAATCTTTGTGAAAAATGTTTTTTAAAATATCTAAAGCTTTAAAAGTTATGAAAAGTTACAAAAAACCGGACCTTCCGATACTGATCCTCAATGGGTCCTAGCTACGAGAACGTAGCTAAAAACGTTGAGATATACTGATGTGCTTGTTTTTAGCTACAATTGGGTGCCGTTAGTTCCAAGTGGCAAACTCAATTTCTTTATTAATGTATGTAACATCTTAAAAATAAGATAATTTTATATTATTATGACTAATTAAACTTACAGAGGCCAATGTAGTGGCACAACTATCGCCTAACAAACATTCGCGTTTAAATTGTTTTTATCCGACATACACCGTCATACATCTCCCGTTTAAAAATGGTGTTCCCAGTAACGGCTTAACGTCTCGATATGAAATACGATGATTTATACCCGTTTCAGGTAGGATTGTTATGCTTAATTGTAGTTGGAGGTGGCAGAAATATTATAAATAACAATAATCAATCGTTGTTATGATGAAAAATGTTGTCAATTTTGCTTACTGAGGCCCGATGAGATCGGCGTTGGACTTTCCTACGTGGAACTATATAGCATCATCTCTTATCTCGAAACAAGGAGGGTTGATAGATGAGGTTTGTTATCTAAATGGGTCCATGCACCACAATAGCCTCAATCAAACTATGTTGTTGACTTGTTGGGCCATCAATTTGAATCCATGAATACACATCAATGCATCATAGATTCACATATCAGGAATCGGAAACATCCGAATGGAATCTAGAATCGGATTTAAAAAATCGATCACCCCATATAGGTATTAAAATAGTAAACTAAGGGGAGGTAACTTTCATACACAGGGTGGATCAAAGGGAAATAACTTACCGTCTTTATCTACGTTTTTAACCAGTAAATCTATATCTCCTTCTGACATGCATTGACCAAGACTGTGTACAACATCTTTTATTTCCCATGCATCAATACAACCATCCCCATTCTTATCAAATAATTCAAACGTTCGTCTTATATCTGAAATATAAAGTAGCATTATTAAATTCCTAGGAACGGTAATAGATCCATCTTTGAACGGAGGGAAATTTAACTCAGGAACTTGGTCAATCTAAATAAAATAAGAATCTCTTCTATTTTCGTTCCGTTTATTCTGAATTGGATTAGATTAAACGAAAGTTGCTACAATTTTAATAAGACTGACTATTTTAATATTAGTTGTCCACGGCGTTTAATTAATTTACTATTAAGGGTCGTCCAGCACTTCAATGTCCGTGTATTTACTACATTAATATTGTGATTAATGAAGCAATATCGTATTGCCTGTCTTCATGTAACATTTTCTGAGGCTGGGGGTCAAAGATTTCACGAACGCTCCCACGTTGCGTTATGTAGGTCAATCCTTTCAGATTACTAGATCTGATTAATTTTAAATTGTACAGACACAATTACACTTTTTTTCTTGGTGAAAAGTGATAATACTCCTTTAATGTGATGATCAAAGATGTGTTACGTTAGCAACGTAAGGAATAGTTGACATAAAAGATTAAATAACGGCATTAAGAGTTCATCTTGCAAGAACGAATAAAGAACGTTAATTTCATTAATTCTATGTGTTACAACGATATGATTAATTTCATTAATTCTATGGGATACAACATCATTAAAGTAGCTTAATATTATTAATACTGTGTATGTCTAATTATAATTACTGCCTTCAACCCCTCTACTCCATAATTCAGTTATCTGACGCAAAAAATATTCCGAGCTTATAAATTGTTCTTTACGTACAATTCTAGATATCGAATGTAATCGATTATGTAATCACAGTTTAAAGTCGGACTATTCCAAGCAAAGTAAATGTAAAAACGGGAATAATTTGTTCTAGACACCTAGCTTATTACTAAAAGGTTCATATGTCTGATATGGTTTCAGGATTTCCCTACCTTATTTAAATAGAAAAGTAGCCTATAACAGAAGGATGTGTTCTAGATAGAATAGTATCCCGCCACGTGCATGGCATCAGAAATTATAAGACAGAGATAATATCTTGTGAATAATGTCTTAATAAAGATGTGGCCCAATTATGTAATCATAAACATTTTAGCGATCTTCATGTACTAAATTCATGGTAAGTAAATGGAAAAAACTAAAAATGAATAATTCTTTAGGGGCATTTATAAATTGAAAAAAGCAATAAACTTCAATATACTTATAGAAGAACAATTATTAATTTATTTTGGCGACATTTCCAAGAATATTCTCAGTTTTCAAGCATGTGTACTAAAAAATGTGTAGAACAATTATATTAGACGGACAATAATATTTTATTTCTGTCATTTGAAAGCAGATACATGTATATGTTGCTGTTGATAATTGTACATTATGATACTAAAGAAACTTATTCCCATTTTAAATCTATTATCACTAAAGCCAAAGTGTCATTCCCGCAATAACAGCTTTGAAAATATATTGTGTTTTAGCAGCTGCTGTCTTCAGCACAGTGTTTTTTTCTCCCAGAAATGATAGGTCGCATTGAATCGGACGTCTTACTGCCATTGGGTAAAAGAATTACATTTATAAATTCTAAGACACGACATTTTCCCGCAAGTAAATATAGTTATTACCACAGTGCTGTAAAAGTGCTGCGATTCAATTGTGTATAATTTGACAAATACAGTTATATACGACGTGCAGTCATTAGATTAAATTAGGGAATTGCGATGTCGGTTTTTATTTAATCTTTAGAAGCAAACATTTCAAGGGCAAACTGGTTGGACACTTTCGACCAAATTCATGCACAAGAACCACAGTTGCAAATTACTATGATTGGTCGAAGGTTTCCGGCCAGTTTTACCTTAAAATGTTTGCTTCTAAAGATTAAATAAAAACCGACATAGCAATTCCCAAATTAATAGAAGTTAGAAATTAGACAATAGCACGTTAGAATTTTGAACCTAAGATAGGTTTGTACCTTGGATGCTATTTGTAGCCATATTTACAAAGATACAAAGCGCACGATCTTATCGATCGACGCCTTAAAGAGTGCAGTGCTTACTTGTAATTGATAAATCTCGCTTGGATTTAGACTAATATTTTTCCGCGATATCATCCTTGCTAGAAACGGACGTTAACCACCACTAACGTTTAGATAAAAAACGGACTATAATTCATATATTTGTTTTTATAAAACAGTAATTTTGTTATAAATCAAAATTACAAAAGCGTCTTAATAAATTGTACTGGCTTTTACTGAGCTAACCTGGGCATTGCATTGAGTAAGCTTTCGTATTATCTTAATGGCAAGATTTCACTGTATGTCCACATAATCCTTTAAAAGGCCAATCACTTCAAATCCCTAATTAAAATATTATGGCATTTACTTTCTAAATGTATGTAGGACGTTAAACCTCACTCCATTTCATTTTCATTCATAAATGGTAAAACCATATTGCATGAATATAATTAATTACATAATGTCCAGACAGACGGAAGTAGTGATTTTGGAGCGTTAATATGTTGTACAACATTTAGAATTGACTACAGAATCCGTCAAATGTATATCGGAGATGTCTAGACGGCAAGTCATTTAACCAAATATCTTGATTGACTCCCGGTGTGGGTTGCTTCATATCCGGTTCCAACTTGAGCGCCTGTCCCTTGGATGGAACCAGAACCCTATTAAGTATACGTACGCAATATTAGTTTACTTAAAAAAACAAGAGACAATTATTAGCAATAGTTCTTCTTCAAACTGTTTTCCATATGATTCGATATCCGGTTTGACTTATTACCATAATTTTTATAGTAACAAAATATGCAACCCTAACCTTCGTGTACATGTATATAGGCCTATATGATATAAAATATAGAACTTAGTAAGTCCAATAAAACCCAGTGCTGAAGAAAGGAAAATATAAATCAAATCAAATAATACTAATAATAAACAGTTTTTTTAAAAGGTTCCCAAGCACGGAAATAGATACAGACAATGAAAAATGAAGCTACGGGATTACCAGTTCTCGGCTATGATAAAATAGTATATATTCAAAGGGGTACCACTCGAATCCTGTACACAAGGAACCGAAACAAAACGGGGTTCGCGGTGGCTCAGTGAGTAAGATGTTGGCTCGCTAACCAGGAGGTCTCGGGGTCGCTCCTGGAGTTGGGTGAGAAAGTTCCTCGGGATTTCCCGCATGGTTTCCCCTTGTCAGTGGTGCAGTGGAATGAAAACCGAGGTCCCGTGTACACATTTTTGTGCACGTAAAAGAACCCTTGACAGTTGGAATTTGAAATTGCCGCTGTCCGGGCAACGTTTCCCCCATAACAAACTGCATGTACCCAGTTGGAGAACAGTAGGACGTTAAACCCCATTTCATTTCATTGCATTTATCAATACCAGACAAAGAAACCCATCCTTTTTCAAACCCAACCGTTTGCCATTGCGAGCCGCGTATTCTAAACCAGTATAACGATTTCAAATAATATCTCAGTGTCAACTTGACATTCAAAAGTATGAAATATACATTCATAATCTATCACACGGTAACCCTTAGGTCAGGATTCTCAGTTTGATCAATATGATAAATATTATTCTAGACATAACAAAATAAACTTCTCGAAATCTTGTGACTAAAGCTTGATATGATACGCCGGTTGTGTCTACAATGGTGTTATTCGGCTTTTTAGATGGAGACAGATTCGTTTATTGTTAGAAATGCTTAGTGTGTAGATATCATCGTATATTTCCTTGAGTCAAGTTGAGAAACCTGAATAAAATAATTTATTGCAACACACCGAATAAGCAATTTGGAAACTACAGTAACGTTTTATTTCCATGGCAATGCTAGTAATGGAGAGAATTTTGCGCCACACAGCGAAGATATGCATCTGAAAACATTCTTATATTTCCTGAGAAACCTTACTGAAACAGAATTTATCATTTTGAAACTACATTAACTTTTTATTTCTATAACCATGCTAGCAATAGAAAATTCTGCCGGCAGGGCGATATTTTTTTCTTGTTGATTTCAGACTTTGTGTTGCCCAATAAAGCTTAACATGTTGCTTTGCAATACTAAATATCATAAATATAAAAAAAACAATTATTTTCAATAGGCTATGTTACCGAAATGATTTCTGTTAAACATGAACTAACTACTGAATTCACTAGGACATATTCCCAAGCACATAAAATATTAAAATAATGAATGTGCTATTTTTTCAGAACAACTATTTTTTGTATGAACACAGATGCTTCTCGGCAGCAGTGTGAATTCAATGGCAATTAATGTAAACTTCAAATGAAAATAATGTCAGTGAAATCACAACCCAGCAGACATCAGAAGGCAGTAACCAATACATCAGATAAATGCAAATTACAATGTCACTTTGACACAGTACCATAACGCAATCAGATGTCATTGTATATAGCCTACGTTGCTATTTATTACAAACATATCGCGTGACATTGTCAATATATCATACGCTACAAATCTCATCACATTTCACCCCAATTAATACGATTCTAAGATTTACCGTTAATATCACGACATGTCATAATAGTCTACCATGTATCAGGAATACAATCACCAAATCTAAATTAATAGCACGTTATGACATCTATTAGCGGTATGGAGCGGCATTTACGTTATACATGTAGTTCTAGCCCTTAACCTAGAAAGGGGTACTCTAATATGCTTTAGGGGGGGGGGGGGTGTTTCACGAGCGCTTGATCAGAAGGTCTGTCATTGAGGCAAGAGGTGTGGTTTCGATTCCCCGCTTGATATACAATTGAACCATGTTAGTCCCGAAATGACCTAGTCTGTGTCTCTCTTATATGCTTACTTCTTATACATGTAACTTCTTACTTACACGTGTTAAATTGGCTATTTACACATGCAAACATGCTAATTTGTATGACTTATTTCTTAAATATATCGTTCGGTGTTAGTGTTTCGTTCTTTTTCTATTATTATTTTTAATTTACTGGCATATGTTTGATATTAATGCAGGTTAAC